CTTGGTGGTGGTGGTCTACGTGGTCTTGGTGGTCTTGGTGGTGATTGTGGCGGTCTAGGCGGTGTTGGTGGTGCTCTTGGTGGTCTTGGTGGCCCCGGTGGTCTTGGGTCCGGCGGTTTAGGTGACCTTGGTGGTCTAGGTGGTCCTGGTGGTCCAAGTAGTCTTGGTGGTCCAGGCGGCCCTGGTGGTTTTGATTTGGTGGTGTGGCACCTCCCCCTACAGCCTGCAGCCCTGAAAGTAGTAAGTCCTTGATGGGTTCTACTTCCTGTCAGAGGGTTTGAAAAAGCTAGATCGACCTAGTTGCTGGGTAGAACGCAAAGTTATTTCTCTACAAAAATCGGGTTCTGTAGGTGCCAAAAATTGCCTCGTTACAACATGGCCCCTCTGTAAGGGCCTCAAGCTCTCCCTTTTTGTAGAAGAAATGTCAACAGGGATCCGTCTACATTTTAAAAATACGGGGCCCAGCCAGACCCTTTAAATACACGGTGGGAACAGGTATTTTAGACTTGCTCTGGCCGGCCACCATATATTTAATTAAAAAGCGTTACCGTACAAAAACATGTTTTTTGCTATATAAAACCAGGTTTTTCATGGTTTTTGGGGCCCCTGGTACTTAGTGGTTGACATCTGAATGTCGCTCGTGAAATCTTTCGACGGCCAGGTCCCTGACGACTGATTCAAGTTCTAGGCACCCATTCCCATGCCTCCCATGCCACCGCCCATGCCCATGCCGCCGCTCATGCCCATGCCGCCGCCCATGTACATCTGCTCCATAGGCATGCCACCTGTCCCTACCCGCCGCTGGGCGACACATGCGAAAAACCGTGCGTGGAGTGTGTTTCAGGGTGGTGACCAAGGACAAAAAAACATCCTGACAACCTACATGTCAACGCACGTTAAGGGCCTCATTTCAATCTGGTCGTGCAAACACAGTACTCAATGATGTCAAGGACCAAGTTATACTTGGTCCTTGGACTGCTGGGGCACCGGGCACACCTCAAATTTCCTTAAGGAAACGGTTGCACCTTCAATTCTTGCCTTGTGACCCACGGTTGTCCACAAACGATGGTCGCCCTGCCTTGTTGAGCCCCTTGGACTCGACCAAGAAACCTGGGGACCAAGGACCTGAGTACAGGTTTTTGGTATGACCCAGACCTAGATCCTTCAAAGCCTACTGGCGGAAAGGCAACACCCTTGCCTCGATCGAAAACCCTACACTCCCAGAAAGTCCCGCCTCCCATTGGCATGCCTTTCCCCATGGGTCCGCCCATGCCGCCCATCATGGCGCCAGCTTGCGAGGACGCGACGCGTCTGACGCGGCGACTCCACAAACGCCGGTGCGATGGGCGTCCGGCGTCGAGCCAACTGCGGTGCGATGGGCGCGTTGCAACGACGCCGCGACGGCTGGAGATGGGTTCGATGAGGTTTCTTGTTACTAGTTGCTCCTAGTAGTACGGCCAGGAGCCCCGAACGTAGCGTCCTTGCTCCTAGTAGCGATGCCAGGAGCCCCTAGTAGTTTCTGGTTACTAGATTGTACCCAAGGATTGTTGGCTCAGCATCTCTATACTGGAAATCGCTCTGCGTGAGCCCCTTTCGATTCATGAGTGGACAAGTGGCCAACTTCCCAAAGGGTCGAAATCAAAATTTCAAGGAGCCTGCACAGGCTTTGCAACAAGCTGGTGATTTCTCGGCCGGGGCATTGATTCCTTGAAGCTTTGATTTGCCCAAGCCACCGAAAACAGCCGCCCCAAAACAGCTGCCTCCCCGGGCAAAGGCACAAGGTGGCAAGCCACTGCAAACTGAGCGCTCTTATCGCCTGAAGGACCGAGCTGAAGAACACTCCACGCTTTTCTGAGATCCGAATTCCAAGGATTCCCTGATCACCAAAACATCATCGACCATTTTCTCGTCACTCTTTGTCGCTGCGTTTGAAATAAACCCATCTCCTGGCTTCTGTGTCTATGGGTTCCCAACACTGGAAACATCATGCTGCGTCCAAGCAATCTATCTTTGGGCTTGGTCCGCTTTCTGAAGGTCGACCTCAGGCCAAGCTCCCAAAAGCGCAAGTAGCCCCCCCCGCACCATGAGCCACCAACCCCGGCCCTTTCACACATCCAGGCCCGGCATGGGCTTGATGGTTCCATGTTGAGTGAACTAAGCCTTGCTTGCTCTGGGCGCTGGAGCTTTTGGTCCCCATTACTCTTCTCCTTGTCAGAAAGTAATCCGACTGCAGATTCCGCGACAGCAAAAAGCCCAAAAGAATTCGCAGGCCTTATTCTTGGTTGTCGTTTTTCAAAGATGAAGCTTTTGTGCTTCGCTTGTGACCCTGATACATGACATGTTGGACCTCTACCTCACGTACCCGACGATTCTGGATTCCGGGACAACAAGACAAATCCAGATCCATCGTTCCCCATGCTCGACATGTGAGAGTGTCCGATTGCAGGCATGCCAGTATGCCCCTTTCTCGCGCAATTTCAAGCGTGATGCCAATTTCACCCTTGGCAACACCAGGTCTTCAAACAGACCCTACACTGTTGTGGTCAAACCTTGGACCGCTTTGCGGTCACCCATTCTGTTCATTTGGTGGTCAACGACGAAGACAAAAATGGTTGATATGGGTGGAAAGGTGGGCCACACTTCTTAAGGAGTCAGCGATGGCCAGAGTGGCGAGGGGCATGTGCCGGGAAAATTCGTACGCAAGAGCTGAAAGCATCGACTCCTATCCGAAAGGAAGGAATTGAAAGATGTGGGAAACAGCATTGAGCTCGAAGCTTTGATGTTTGCAAAACCATGCAAAACCTGAAGCGTCCGTCATCATATGAAAACAGGGACCCTGTTTGCTGACATGTTGGGACCGGGATGCCTCGAAGACTTCTTCTGCCTTGCCTTCCTGGTGTTGCCGATCCACCCGCTAGTCGGATCAGAAGCTCTTCCTCTGCCCTTCCGCAAACCTGGAGCTCCAAGCAGGTTCACCTCCCTGAAAAAGGCCGTGTGTTTCCGGGGCTCAACCAGCAGTGAGAAGGAGTTTGGATTCATACTCCACGGGTCTACCATAAATCCTGGAGGCGACGACTGACGGCTCCACAGTGGTAAGTCCAGCTCGTGTTCATGACTTGGAGCATCTTTTTCGCAATTGCATCCCCCAACTCTTCACCCTACAGAAGTCCAGTCCGACGAAGTAATGGGCACCACCCAAGTAAAGGGTCATCCAAAAGACCATGTTTATCGCGGACCGCTCAAAGCAACGCACTCAGCAGCAGAGTGGCGTTGCTGTCAAAAGACCATGTTTAAATTGAAAATAGTCTTTTGCACTTTCAGGGTTTATGGAGTTCACCTATGTTCACTGCCCCGTCGGATCTTCGCCTTCGCCCCCCCCCCGTCGGATCTTCCCCCCGGTGTTCTCTGCGCGTTCACTACGCCCAAGAAGTCGTTCGGCGGTCACTCCAGAGCAGGACATGAAAAGGAGGCCAAAGTCGGTGAGAAGTCATTGCCGATGCTACTAGTAGCTAGAAACTAGTAACAAGGGCATTTCTATACTAGTACAGCACTGCTACTAGTAACAAGAAGATGACAAACTAATTGCAAGACTTATACGGTTTTTCGTGTTTTCCCAGATCATTTTACTGGAACACAATGGATCTTGGGAGGCATGAATACTTATCAATCTTTGAGCCGTTGCTCACAACCACCCGCCCACTGCGTCCACTGCTCCGCCCATCACGCGGCTCGAGGTCCGGGCGGGTCATCAAGAAGGGGCAAAGCTCCATCACTTCTGCGCGTCAGCTGGCGGTTTGCTTCTGAGTTCCAGAGGTAGACAACGCAGTCTGGTGGGACAATTCAGTGAAACGATCGGGTGGGTCAATGCGTCGATTGGGTCGTCCTTTGTTGTCCTTACTTACAATGCGTCGATAGGATAAGACCATGACATTGGGATTCTGAAAGTAGGCTCAGGCGTGCCCCGCGGCTTGGCAGTCTTTGACGACAGAAGTTTCAATGCAAAGATTCTTGCTTGCGTGTCCACTTGTTTTGGTCTATCAGTGCATTGAAGCGAACATAGTAACATAGTCAACTTTGTGGTCCGAATTAATTCGCCAGTAGTTTCGAACAGTTCCTAGAACCAAAAGACCTGATGCTCCGTATTTGAAGGCCTACCCAGCTAGGTTGAACAGCCCTTTGTAGATATGTACCACTTTAGGGTCCCTTGAGCTCTCTCAAGTTTTCTTCGTAGGCATGTGCCCGTTCTTTGGGTTCCCTGCAGTGGGATTCTCTCCTCATGTGCCAGTGTACAAGGCCCAGCCGGCGAAGTACCTCACTTCTGCGGATGTCGTGCAAGTAAATTAGCCGACTTTTCTGCTGAGGGGCTGAACTTCCAGCTTCCCGTCTCCCACCCGCGGAATCGGTGGGGCCCGCGCTTTCAGCAATCTCGTCGGCATCTAAATAGTTGAAGTGCATGGGCATACTGCTGAGTTTATACCTCGCAGTATGAAGCCAAGGCGGTGACAGGGTGATTAGACTGAGAGGAAGACGTGCTTGGGCACTGAAAGGCGCTTCACAGGGGCTGGTCACGCAAGGCAACATAGCTAGGCTTTTGGCCAGTGTAGCCCAGATTATATACACCTATTTGCTTGCCTGGGCTCGGGTTTGAGTAAAGGAGGCCAAGCAAATCGGCAATACCGATGCCCATGCGGGTTTGTGGGTGCTTGGCTCACTAGTCACCAAGCGCGGGCAAACAACAGGGGTCTCAACTCTGACTTGGGACACAAGTGTTCGAACTTTGTGGGTGCCGAAAGCCCCGCAGGTTGCTCTTCAACTGCTTTCTCAACGGGTCTGACGAAGAACGCTAGCGCGGCGCGGTCAATTAGGCTGCTGGACCGTTTGTTGAGTGTCCCTACCGTAGAAGATTGACATGAGCACACCAGGACGCGAGACTCACCACCAACAAGCTCAGGAGGAAGGCAACATGCATGATCAACATCAGATGAGGAACCTGCCCAGACAGCCAGGCCAGGCAGCAAAGCAACACCGGTGAGCAGCAAAATAAGCTGATTCTGAGGAAATGAAGCCTGAAGGGTTTCTGAATAAAGAGACCTCCAACTTGCGACTCTTGCATCGTGCATTGTCGTGCCTTTGAATGAAGAACCCCACAATCTGAGATGGTGGTTCAGTGGACCACGGCTTGAGTACCCCTCCGGCCCCCTTCACAAAAACCCTCAGTACTCACCGGGGACCGTCGACCATCGGCCGGCCACTACGCGTCAAAACAAATGCCACAAACATTCCGGTTGAGATCAACTCATCTCCACCGGCCTCGACCCTGTGGGTAGACTCAATGGGTAGACTGCTGGATCTCAACCCCAATCATGTCATGCTGGGCCTTTGCAGGCCTTTGAGATCTTCAGATCTTCCTGGCATCTGGCCCCTTTTAAGGTTGATAAAGCTTCGTCATGGACCACCCAGGCTGGTTGATCCAGGTTTCACAGGACATGAGTTCTCACATCAACTGCATTCTCTGAGAGCAGATCGAAGGAAACCCATCGGATAGATGACCTCTATCGGCCTATATCGCTATCATCTGCCAGGACCTTCCCAGTGACCTTTTGAGATCCCAGAATGGGGTCACTTAGGCCTTGAAAAGGTAACTTACCAATCCTGAAGGGGTCACTGGGAAGGTCCTGGTGACTGATTCTGAAAGATATTGGTGCAGGATCTGCCCAGGCCGTCCAATCGGACGCCAGTGACGTTGGTAGATGTCAACGGGCCGATCGGACCGTCAGGGCGAAGGGTATGATGCTCCCAGCTTGGGACCGCGACTGAGCGCGTGGCTAGCAGTCAGTCTGGATCAAAGCACCATGAGCCAAGTCTATCCCAACAGCAGTCAGAAGCCAATGATGATGCTTGGCGGCCAAATGGCCAGTCAGAAGTGGCCCACAAAAACCAGACAAAGCATGACAAAGCCCGATGCATTTGGGTGGGTTCCCCAAGTGGCCAAAGAGACAAGGACGCTACGTTCGGGGCTCCTGGCCTTACTACGTAGGAGCAAGGACGCTACTCCTGTCTGGGTGTCCAATGGACCACTCTACACTCCAACTACTTAGGGATCTCCAGCCAGGACACCCAGGCAGGACGGACCTGAATTCGATGGACCTGGTATACAGCGGAGCCGCATGAAAGTCTCAAATCCTCGGCTTCGCTCTGTAGATCGTAGACTCGACCTCTTCATCTACCCTAAGAATCCAGGGAGTAGCTGCCTCATTTTACCCCCAGCTGGGGCCCCATGGTGGACCAGCTGAAGTCGTCACCATGTTCGTCATTTCGTCACGGAAGTGGGAAGAGATCATGGAATTCTGAAGACCTCGACCACATCGGCCAAGTGGAAATCTTCATCCAAGCCTCGCCGCAAGACTCTCATTCACACCGCCTGCGCGGGGAAAACAACGCCGAACATGAGGAAAACCTCGTCCTTCGGAATCGGCCGGAATCGTGTCCGGGCGTCTTTGAAGTCCCGACGAGTCATGAACTACTCCACCAAATGAGTCATAATCCATCCACTCCCATGAGGGTTTTGAGGCAGCTACTCCCTGGACTCTTAGGGTCTCTTGGCCGAGCTACTCCCTGGGCGTCTTGGCATTCAGCGTCTTCTCCTCGGATGTCCACACGCCGAGGAGACGGGATGCCCGGAGCGAACCGCGAGGTGCAGCAAGTGGATCCAAACCCACCCCAAACAGCTTCTGTTCACGAATCAGTGGAAAAATGGTTAAACAAGTTAAATAGCAAAATGCAGAGTGAACAGTGAATGAGTTACAAAAAATTGGAGGGTTTCTCTTAACAATCCAGGAGTTAACAACAAGAAAGGATGAGTCCAGTCCCACTGCCTCTTGATGTGATGTGACAGGGGCTTCCATCCACCCTGGTCTACTGCTAGACCAGCCTGAAGTTCTTCGGTGCGTGGCTGAGGCTCCTCGCCCAGACTTCTAGGCCGGCGCAGTGGCAGGCCCCAACCACTTCGCGGTCCGAAGCAGTTCGCTGTTAGCAGTTGCCTTCGGGGGCCGAACGAGTTCGGGTCGCCTCTGGGTGGGCCATTTCTGGGCGCCCCAGACCCACTCGTCCAGCTGTTCCAGGAGCCTCAGTCCAAACCCAAACACCCCGCCCGGAACCCGCCCGTCGAATCAACACCATGGGTGGCAGGGCCCCCCCCTGATGTCCCCGTGATCCGAAGGGCGACCGATGGCCGATCGGCGCGCTTTCGGGCCTTTGGTGGCGGTCTGATCAAAGGGGTCCCTGTTTGACCGGCACAGTCCAACCATCGGCAAATCACGACCAGACCAGAGGTCTTTCACTCATCAGCCCGTCACCCTACCACTCTGAAGGACTCCGATCGGTCTCTCAGGTCCTCTCAAAACCGCTCGGCCGAACACGCGTTGTCAACGGCCGAGTCCGCACCATCCGGTCGCTCGAGTGCGGGTTTCAGTGGAGAGGACTCCGACTCCGTGGAGTCTTGAGGTCCAAGAGTCACAGAGCTGGGGATTGTTTTGAGTCCCATCGGGCCGTGGATGTGACAGGAGCACCCCGACTTCCTCGGATGGCACCCCGAGCTCTGTGACTCCTGGTAATTGGATGGTATTTCACCAAGCTGGTCCCAGCTTGACATCTCATCAAACAAGAGTCTATTCAGATTCAACATATAATTACTGACTATATACTGAATGTATATATATATATATACAAACCCTGAGGAACACCTCACATGGTTATGTGGAGTGAAAACCCCCTGCAGTGAAGAGGAAAGGACTCTTGCGAGGTGCAGTCCCTCGCCATCCCCCTCTTTCATGTATAGTCGGAGTGCAGTCCTTAATAGGTACCATATAATCCAGACACTCCATGAAACGAGGCATATTTACCGATCAGTTGGTGCCAGAGGGGTGTCTGGGGCGGCAGTCCTATGGCAGTCCCAGATAGATCGCGTCTGGGTAAGGTATCACATGTGATCCCCTAAGATATGATGGTCGACTCGACAAACGTGCCGTCCCACGAACGGACCCCAAAAGCGGAAGGCGTCTTGGCGGGGAGATTTTCTCAAGACATCGAAAACGTCCGAAGATGGTTTTGGTCCAAAAGTCTAAGACAAAACAACCAGCACCACCCAAAGGGTGGTTTATAGACCCCCCTGAAGATGTATTTTCCATCTAATAACCACCCCTTGGGTGGTGCTGGAAGGGGGTCCTTCTCTTCGGCAGAAACCTCTTCGTTTCGGGGGGCGCGACGCAGTGGGTGTCTTCCACTGTGTAAGGACCTCTAGAAAAAAAAACAGGTCTCACCCACTGTGTTCTCCTTGTTCTCTTTGTTTCATCGATCATCACCTTGCCACCGGAGAGAAGGCCTTCGCAAGCGATCGCTCCGCCACCCCAGCGTGACGAAGCTCCGCTTCGCTGGGAGACGAAAACAGTGGCTTTTCCCTTATAGAAACTCTGTTACAAAGCGATCACGCCAGTCCGTCCCACTTTTCGGTGAAGGAATCCAATAGTTGAGCCCACTCGCTGTAAACCGACCCCACCGAACCCTGCCGTTCGAAACGGTCCCCTTTTGGGGGAAACGGTCCACGATCCACGACCGAGGTCGCTCCAGCTCCAGCTCGGTCCGTTGCCACCGCTCCCGGGCCGTTCCCAACACCGTTCGGAGCGTCCGTTCGGAGCGTGCGGCGGCCAGGTGGCTCGTTCTTGTGGCCCATCTCTTCCCGGGGGGACTCTTCCTGCGGAACGGGTGGACCTTCGGACCTGATGATCCCAGTGGCGGGTCGGTCCCACTGCAGGTCTTGTTTTCAAGGTCAGGCCAGGCAACCAATGCTGAAAAGGTCACAGGGAAGGTCCTGGGGGTGATTTGTGGTTCTAACTTTGTGCAGTTATACATGTATAGGAATGTGTAGTTCGAGCATGTTTGAGCATTGCATCACGGTTGCTTCAAAGTCAGAAGGCAGACTTAGATTCTATAGTGAGCTTATCGCTTCTTAGGAAGACCAAGAGTCTGAAGCAGGGCAGCCCAAACCTTCAATTACTCCAGACCTCAAATAATACTAAACAATCCCTGGCTGGTTCTTTTGGTGGTTTCCTTTACCATTCCTTTAGATGTCCTTTTTGGTTGAACAGCTTGGGAGCCTTGTTTCGACCTCAAGACCTCAGCAGGTCCGTCTTCGGACCCGCTTCCTCTAACACCCGCTGGAATCCCGGATCCGGACGGGTCCCTCCAGTCCAGTGTCTGGTCGACCGTGCCGACCGGCGGAAACAGCTCTGGTCTCGTGGACAGTCCACCAGTGCTGCAAGTGCACCAGATCCCATGCCATCGAGCGGAAGGGCCACAAGTCGTGGTGGCTGTCCCGACCGGACCCCACGCTGCCAGTCGACCGGACCCCCAACAGGTCGACGCGGACGAATCCGTCCGACGCTGTGTCTGGTTCGGCTTACGAAGTCTCCGACGGTTCACAGGTAGACGACGCTCGGAGCACACTCGGAGCACAATCAGAACAGGGGAACCCGCCATCTTGTTCGGCCCCATGATGGCAGACCCTTTTGGATCTTAAGGGCAAAAAGCAGGGACGAACTTGTTCCAAGGAAACGCCTAACTTGTCAGGGACTCAGGCCGCAATTCTGGAGCCCTTTTTTCCTTGGAGCCATATGGAGACCCACACCTCCCACTGCCACCTCCTCCAGGATGTGCCCCTCCATATCCAGTTGCGAACGGATCTTGAGCCCCGCCTCGCTGACCGACAGTCGGGCTGTTTTCACGGAGCGTTTGGGTGGAGTACAATGAGTCGGAGCTACCAGCAGCCGTTTCGGGGGTTTGTCCCGACTGAGCCTTGGCGGACTGGCTGGACTCAGGGCCCTGGCTTTGATGCACTTGGCAGGAGTTCTTGAGACAAGTAAAGACCTCTCTTGAGACAAGTAGTTCTTGATGAACTTGGCAGGAGTTCTTGAAGTACCAGGACTACTGGAGTTCTGAAACATCGACCCTTCAGAGTCTTCCATCGCTCTGCGGCAGCCAGACCGCCAGACCCCATCTGGCCGGTGGGGCGGCGATGGATACAGTCTACAGTCTTCCAACGAGCCCTCCACACCGGTCTAAAACGAGAAATGACACACCAACAGCAAGAAAAATCACCGGTCTTAAGCACGGAGGTCTTGAAAAGTGAAATACCAATTCAAAACGGAACTACCCCACGCTCCGGATTCGATTTCGAAGCTGCATGCAGTGATTGCGTATTGCGAATACGTGTGCGAACTCTCTGATAGAGGTTGTGTCGCTTTGGTACACAATTTCATATGGGACTTCGTATCAGGAACGAAGCTCAAGGCGAACATGATGCAGATAACGATTGGGGAGTGGCGCATATTCAATCATGTTCGTAAATCTAGACTGATTAGGCAGCTGGGCAAGATCAAATGCCTCCGACCGAACTTTGGTGAAAAGCTAGACGGATGAGCGAGGAAGCACTGGCTTTCTTGTATTTTGGAAATAGAGGAACTTGCAATGTGTTTTCCAAGTATCTTACTACAGCACGCAAAGTATTAGTTTGATGCCACAAACTCCGAATGTCTTCTATTTGAAGTCGAACTATGTCAGCATCAAAGGGGTATGGGACTGGAAATGTATCTTCTTTGCAGTAGATCCATACTGGAAGTGACGATCCTGCATAAGTATTGATAATATATTATACCCCACAGCCAGTTCGTACCATGTCATCCCGATGTCTGATCTCACTGGGCAGTCTGGATGTTCCCGTTGGGGTTGTTGAAGAAATTGTCATACAAGGTATGCGCATGTGCACCAGCTGGACACGCTTGTGCTACATATAATTTGGGCAAGGGGAGCTATAAAAGCCCAGATTGGTCCCATGCTGGTGGACATGCGCGATGGCATACAAGGTACTATGATCATGTGACTCCATTGTGCACGCTCAAGTTTCAATTTGGAGTGCAATGCCTTAAGGTCAGCCAAATATGCAGAACAAGCAATGCGATTGGTTTTCATCATGATGGAATTGTTTTGTGCGGCATCTTTTAGTGGTTCCAAGTCTATTAGTCTATGTTATATTTGTCATTTTAGCTGTCTCATGAGCAGCAGTATTGCCGAGAATAGTATATAGGTCATCAACGTTTGAAGCCCCCTCAAGATGTCTATGCAATTTCACTTCAAAGGCTTGGTGATGTAAGGGATTCCACATTTGGTTAAGTGATATTAAGTGTCTGGACTGAATCTGCATGAACTAAATGACATGTATTGGAATTTAGTGTTCCATCTGCAATATTGCATCCAAAATATTGATAACGAAGTTTGAATCAGTGTGAATAGACATCAAATCATGTCCGTAATGATCGAAATGCCCGACTAGCCATGTGACTGACTCAAGTTCGGCTCGATTTATGGTCTGGAAACTTGTTGTATGGGAAGTTTGTACCACTGCAAAGTCATTTAGGGATGGGTCTTCTGAATTTGTGCGGACGTGCTGGACAACTGCCCATGCTGCTCGACAGCAATTCTGGTTCTTTGGCAGATCGCAGGTGCCATCTGTGTAGAATACATAGTGTTGTGAGTCACGACTGATTGGTTTGTCCATGAATGGTCTTTGGCGACAATGCTGCAAACGGCTATACGCAATTTGTTCAGTGTGGATCGTTGCTCGGGGGAAGCATAAGTTTGAAAATTGTTGAAGGTATGACACGGCATCTGAATGCATGTCTCGAATGTGCGCAACATGAAACAGTGGAGGTGACGATGAACATGCGCATCACCCTGACCGCAAAAAGGGCAAACAGCAGATTGACTACTGTCCCACACAGTTTTAACAGTTCCCGCTTGGTATCCACCTGTAAGATAAAAAAGCTAACAATCGAAGAGTATTGTCTGAAAGTTTGGCAGGACGAATCCCGAAGCAAATTGCTGCACACCGAAGCCCGGCAAATCGCCCAATTCGGTTTTGGGGGCAAACTTTGAGGCACACATTCCAAAGACAGTGGACACCTCGCTGCAGCCACGGAGCGGTGGAGTTTTGAACGAATGCCACGGAAAACACCAAAACCGACGGAACTAGGCCTCGAGGAAGCGCAACAGCTGAGGGCTTGTAACCTCAGGGCTCGGATCGTGCCTTTGCCGTCGAACCGTTCCAGGGGCCGCGCTGGAGGCCAGCGCTATCTTGAAGGCCATTGCTAGTAGGTTGAAGACAACCTGGCACCCCATTTCTACTGGGTTTAGGGTTTAGAACACACGGTGGGTTGACACTTTCCGGGTCGATGTCTTCAGGGACTTGGACCCAATGGAGGGCATTTGGGTTGCGCTCACGAAGGACGGTCCCGGTACAAGACCCAGTAAACCTGGTGTTTAAATCATTGAGCAAGGTCCTTGCACGACCAACTTCAGTAAAATGAGGTCAAGCCGACCTGCTTTTTTCCCTGCCCAAGTTAATCCGGGCGGCGGCGTGGTTCACGTCCCGCGCGACCACATGCGCAGAACAAAATACGCGTAATTCAAGTATACGGCGATGTAAAAAAAAACGAAAATCAATTGTTCTTAGCCGCACTGACTTGCCTTGACGTGTTCCACTTCGCCCTTTGCCGAGAAGTCTCGGCCCAACTGCTCATCTTCGACATCGTGTGGAAGTCCCTTGACCATTACCTGACAAACACAATTCTAACGCAGCTTGGCTCGGCGGGTCTTTCGAGCTTGATGTGGTGGCAGGAGTTCGGGATCTGCTCCTGGAGTCGTTGGAGCTGGTGAAGGAGTTGTGTTGCCGCTCTGCTGCTGCGAAGGAGCCGCTGTCGTGTTGTTAGGAGTCCACGCGGTAGTCGGCAGCTTTCTTCCGAGCATGGATCACCTCCAGGCGAGCCAACAGGGGGGCACGATGATAGGCTGGAGCGTAGGAAACCATTGCAAGGATGCGTGACCATTCCTGCCGGTCACTGGCCCCCGGTAAGCCGCTGGCTCATGCTCCCCGTTGCAAGGAGGCCCAATTCGCACGAGGATCGCGGCTGTCCATGCCCACTGTCCTGGTCTGGTCGTAGCGTGTTCCGACCAGGTCATAGTCACCTTTTGGCGGCTTCTTGGTTGGCGCCATTGTCGATGCAAAAGACTTGGGCACAAGCCAAAGGCCAACATTCCAGCAGGCGTAAGGACACGTCGTCTTCTTGAGCCTCAAGTGCCACCGATGATGATCTCAAAGTGACACCAGCTTCATGAACTCGAACCGCACAAACATCAGCCAAAAATGAGGCGGCCTTTTTAGCGGACATGCTTTGCAAAGTGCAAAGCTCTGACGAAGTGAGAACCGCATCCTGGACCTTCTCGACCTTCAAGCTCATCATGAACCATGAAACATAAAGCTCGAGGACTGCGCTCCTTGTATGGCTTCGGAGGCTGATCTCCAGCTTCATCCGAAAACAGGGTCTTTGCCCCATCAGCAAGCCAGGCATGGCTCAAGTCCAGCAACAAGTAAGTGCACCAAGGTGCTCTGCATGACCTCGAAGTCAGACCTGAGAATCCTTGGATGTGTTTGAGAGGATTCTTAGGGTGAAAGCATGGGCCAGCCTTGCCACAGTGAGCGGAAATTGAGCAGGTCTAATGGAATGTCTCGACGAAAGGATATCCTTCCATTCCTCACTGGTTAAGTCTTCGCTTCTTTTCCGCATGTAGGCGTGGCAGGCGCAGCAACAAGTATGGGCCGTGTGAAATCCATGACAAGTTTTGGCATCTGCCATGCCCCAATCTGGAAGATGAGCTCCACATGACTCAACATGTTCCTAGTGGGGCCATCTCCCATTTATACCCTCCTCAATTCTCTTTGCTCAATCCCCGACCAATTTCAACGGAATTGGATGGCATAGGGGCCCTGGGAAGACCCTGTTGCTCTACGAACAAAGGGCGCCATCTAAGTTGATGGAACGTGAGATGTTATAGGATGTTATGCTCTGATTTAGATGTGGGGATGGGTCATGACCATGTGAGCCTGGTCTCCTGGTGGTTTTCATCCCAACGTGCGACCTCGCACCGACACGTCCGCGGGCTTCGCCCGAAAAATCGTCTCCGAAGGGGGGGCGGACCCAAGATACAGACACTCTTTCACTATGAACTTGCGAAAGAAGGGGAGTAGTGACGGTCATTTCTCAAAGGAATGGGTTCTTTAGTCCCAACCAGGGGCTGTGGATGTGGCAGGAACTCTGGAACTCCGCCCAAGTTGATGCTCTAAGACGTCGTGGTGGTTGCTTATTCGCTTCTCATCCATCCACAGAGGTCGAATGGAGCCCGCCACTGGACGAAACATCATTAATTTCAGACCTGTCCCCGGCACTCAGCTGCGAAACCCATCGAGTGCCCAAGTTCTTGTGCGCCCGGTGCATTTGAATGACCTGCCACGCGACGGCCGAGCACACTATCCGTGGGGCGTGTCAAAGGGAGGGTGAAACAGGTCACAAAACCGCCCTCTTTAGGAGACCTGTTGGAGGGCGCTGGTATGCACATCCTCAGAAGCCGGGCCCTCAAATACGTAGGGTTTTGAGGGCCCCTGCGATTGTGTCGGGTCCGACCCCTGCCATGGAGGGCCCGATCGGATTCTCAGGGATATAAGGAAATATGCGAAGAACCCAACAACAAAATGCAATCCACTCAATCACTTGGACACCCCTGACAGAAACCTCTGCCAAGTTGCTTTGGGGATGGACTTCGATGGGCTCCATGGACCAGGTTGGTTGACATCCCTTGCTAGAACCCTTGGACCTGACCATTGCAGGCTTTTCATCATTCCAGTCATCCAAATTTTCGCCACGTTTCTCCACCGTTCACCGACGCCCTGACGGCAAAGAAACCACAACGCCGCCGACGGGGGCAGCGCTGCATCGCGCGCCGCGGCGCCGAAGCGTTGGCCTTGCGCAGCTCTTGGAGCAACTCCCGGCGCTGCTGCAGGCACCAGCCCTCATCACGGCCTGGCCATCCATGCACCGCAGCGATGCAGCGACGCAGCGACGAGGAACCAACTCGGTGGAGCGAAAAGAAGATTTCGGAGAGGAAGGCTGGTCTTACTAGTAGTTCCTTGTGACTAGTAGTATTGCCAGGAACAAATTTAATAGCGTCCTTGCTCCTAGTAGCGATATGTAGCGATGCTGGTCTTCATGGTTTGACGGAATCATATTGGATGCTGTGATGGATCGATATGTTTGATGAGGTTCCTGTTTCTTTCTTGCATGAGTCATTGACTCAAACATTTTATCATGCGAAAAGGACCAGCACGCCCTGGCCACCTCCGATGCCAAAACCAACCAAAACCCCTGGGATTTCCTCAAGCTCGGGCTCAGGCTGATGCAGGAGTTCTGCTTTCCAACAGTCTCAACCAATCGGCATGCATGAAAAACAGGGAGGACCGACCACCGGCTGGCGTGGCAACGACGCCCTGGTCGTTTCGGTTCGGGAGACAATCGACGTCCGTCTACCCAGCCCTGCAAAAATACACACTCAAATGTTTGTGGGCAATTTTGCGTGGCCGGTTGGTCACAAGGTGGTTTGGCATTCACACTGGGGCCTTGGAGAAGCAAGTAAATGTTTCACTCATTAAACCGCCGCAAGTGTTCATGTCTTGGGTATATCCCGTAGGGCTCGAGATTGCTAGTGCTGCAGATTAGAACAGCTCGCGTGCCCCAGTGGCGTGTACGCCATGCCTTTTGTCACGCTGGCTCTGCATGTTCTTAAACAAAAGCACGTGCAGGGCCATGAGAGGAGAACAAGCAGTGAAACCACCTTGAATGGTGGCTTGGAAATGACCCTAAAAAGCTTCGGAGGCTACCTGAAGTACATGCAGGGCAAAGACGCAAGCAGTTGCGGTGAAATGGTGGCTTCCGAGTGACCATACATTGATTAGACTACCTGAAGTACATGCGAGGAGAGTTGCGCGAATGCGCAGGGCGTAGGAGGTGCCAATGTGATGACCTGCGTTCGCGCGCCATGAAATACTGTGGTGCGTTTGTTGTTTTGAAGTCCCGGCGCCTGTTCCAATCCTGACTGCGGTGGGTCAGCTGAGAAGCTGTTTCCCATTTTCGTTTTGTGAGCGCATGGCAAGTGGACCGTACTCAGCTCGTAGGTGCGCAAGCCCACTTTTTGCTGTTGGTCTTTGCTCGACTTTTCCTATAGGATGTAAGCCTGTGCAGTCTCGCATCCGTTTGGATGTGGTTGCTTGGAACAGGGGCTCGGAAGCTCAGCTGATGCTTCGGCTGGGCAAGGGCCTGCTTTCCACAATGGCGTGTGTTAATTCGATGCATGTGCGGCCACAGGCGACCGCCTTCGGCAAGAAGAAGAAGACTAACAACAACAACAACAACAACAACAACAACAACAGCAGCAGCAGCAGCAGCAACAACAACAAAAAGGTATATCCCATGTCCAGTAGTAGAAACAGTGGATGATGATGATGATGATGATGATGATGATGATGATGATGATGATGATGATGATGATGATGATGATGATCATGATGATGATGATGATGGTGATGATGATGATGATGATGGTGATAATGATAAGGGCCACGTGCTGCTCGAACGCGGCGCTGTGCCTTGACGCTATGCCTTGGACGGCTTCCTCCACCTGATCCTGCGTCCCGGTGCCTCTTGACCTTCCTGCTGCATGGCTGCTGCTTTGCTGCGGACGCTGGCTTGGTTGGGTGACTTGGCACGGGTGCGTGGGGCGCGTGTGTGATCTAGTACCTGCACTACCTTTTCTACTTGTTCTTCCTCTTAGATGTTTGGATTCTGCAGGTTCTGAATGCCACGGGAAAGTCACGAGGCCTGCAGCTACAGCACACCTGGGTTCCAAATCCCAGGCACTTCTGGCAGTTGTTCTTTTGGCTTCTACTTTCTAGTTTTGCTTCCTCATCTAGTATGACCTCATTGACTTCGAACATTCATGCCAAAGAGTGGTGGCCCGAGGGTTCCAGCTCCGCCATCAGAGCTGGTGAAGTCACACGGACTTGTACTCCCTCACTTGATGCAAAGATATTTAGGTGTTTGCTACCTAAGATTTGCGCTTGGTATTCTGATCGCTTTAGAAATCAGAATCTTCGAGGCTGGTGTGGTGTTCTGTTGGTAAGGCGCAAGCAGTTTTGTAACAACTGGTGTCACATGTGTATGCAGCTGTTGGTTCTTGGGCTAGGACGCAGTGGCCTGATTGGTAGGCCTGCGCCCTGGTTTGGCGGTATAGGTATCTTTGCGTACGACGTTTAGAAGCACGGGATACCCGACGGGATATCAGAGCAGCAAAGCTTCTACATGTCTTTTTCAGGGGTTTTGGGTGGCTCTTCAGTTGGTTACCGCTGTCTTTCGCTTTGGCAGTGCAAGGACGAGAAGCGCGGCTTTCCCGCATCGCCCTGTGGGGAGGATGGGTTAGAGAATGACGCCTGACCGTTGTAGTATGTGTGCTTGGCATTCCAGATAGGAGGAGTGGCTTGAGTGTGTAGGGAACTTTGTCTGGCGGTTTCTGGCTGTCTGACAGTACCGCGAGACTACCTCGAGAGGCTCGAAAGCCTTGTCGCCAATGCCAATCTTGGGTGGCTGGAGAATTTGAGACGTGGTGGAAGAATCTCCTTCCTTCAGGTTCCAATGCATCCTAGACTACCGAGAAGGCGATTGAGAAAGGGAACTTGGCATGCAAGGTGTGTGAGGAGTGATGGTGTGGGAGATGAGGGGGTTCATCCTGCACAGCCTTTTCCCCTTCCTTTTCCTTTGAAGCGGCCACCCGTGTTGATTACCTCGTTGATTTTGGAGAGGAGCTCTGCTTGAAATTGCTCGGGTGTTGTCACCTGAGTGGATGAAAGGTAGATGACACCCTTGCCTTCCCCTGCTCAAAAGTGGCCGTCATTGGTCACCAACGTGTGGTCTTTCCGATTTTCTCAGCGACTGCCATTGCCACTTTCGACGGCAATCCCGTGACGCAGGTCCCAGAGTGAGACTTGAGGATGGATGCGAATGTCTTTGCTTGTGTTATTAGTTATCCTTTTCTTGCTACTTGCCAGAGGGTTTCTCGAACTTTTCCCAATTGGTCTCCTCTCGGTCGTTGAATTGAACCTTTTCCTTGAGCTCGTCGATGTTGTTCTTTGTGAAGTCTAGTAGTTTGGATCCCTGCCGTGGCTGGCTCACTGTGACCACTGAGAGCGGTGATAAAGCGTCTCCTGAGATGCCTGCACGCTTTGCCAGTTTGTTGATGAACCTGTCCCTGGACTCAGCTTCTGCTACCTGTTGGCTTCCTTGTACTTCAGGCTTGGAGTCGTCGGTTTCGCTCCATTCTCCCACCAGGATTTCACGTTTGGCCTTTTCGCGGAGAGAGTCTGCATGTTAGGCCATAAGGTAAGTCGTTTGCGACTTTGTTCCTGACATTTGCACGTGTAGCTCTTGGAGTTGTGGGACGAGTTTTTGGGACCTTCTGTGGCCACTGTTTTCGTGCACCTCATCTGCGGCACGTCGTTGCCGCTGCCGCTGGTTCTGGAGTGGTACCCGAAGGTTCATGGCCATGCTTTGATTGAGACATAGCCCGTTCAGGGGCGGTTTGCCAAAATTAGAATTTGGAGGCTGGATGACTAAGTTGCCCTCACCTGAGCTTAATGCTATCAAAATGACTGTCATAATTGATTCACAATCATCATTGGAAAATGCTATAGCTGCGCTGCACGTCCATACCGGGGCAATGGCCATCCCTTGACGGCGACTGCAGCACGAATTTCGGCGGAAACTCGCTTGCAAGCAAAATGCGCAAAATACAGGACGACTCACCTTGGAAAGCACTGAGCTTGCCGAGGCACTATTGCATTTCTTCGCGATCCTGGGTCCTGGATCCCATGTGCAGTTGGCCTCTGTCTGGCACAACCACCGAGGGCGTGGGCGCTCAATTACTGATTCGTAGAAAGGGGTCTTCTGCTCGGCCCAAAGTCCGGTGGGGTTCCACCAGGCGCATGCACAAAGGAAGCCCAGTACCTGCCACCGGGTTCTCAGGTGCTCCTGGCATGGGAACAGCAGCCAATTTGGCCGCAGGAACCTTGCCATAGGCGATGGGCATAGGATTCTTACGAAGTGCAGCAAGACCCTTCGCCTTGGGCGGGGGTTGGTGGTGGAGCAACGCCACCCACTGCTGCGTTCACGACTTCCACAAAATGGTTCCCCGCATTGGTCTCTTCGATGCAGATTGCTCTCTGCCATCGGTTGTCACGAATGCTGCGGCCCTCGGGTAAAGCCTCCCATCCCATATGGCGTCCTGGAGTAGATATAGTTGCAGTAATATGAGGGAAATCCCAAAACCCATAGAAAGTGGCAGTGGTGGTGTTTTCGTTTCGGTTCACATTCTATCTACTCCAGGGATGCTTCTAAAATCATGTTGAAAACTATGTCACCTGACGGATTCAGACCTTTCCACTAGCCCCCTCTATATAGTCATTATAGTCTCGGCACTGGTCCATCCCATGCTCCAAGCAGTTCAGACCTCAAAGAAGTCAGCGAAGTGGGGGAGGATGGGGCATCTACAACGTCCAAAAAGAAGCGACCGAATGCGATACACAGAAAAAGAAACCAAAGAACCAACGGCCATACAGGCCATACACATCAAAGGGTTCCGCCGGGGCACCGTTGAGCATCGAAACCACATCGACCGAAAGCACATCCGAAAAAACACATCGAAACCACCCGCCTGCCATAGGAAAGCGACAGCTGCTGAAGCAAGGTCGAAGACCACTGACCTGATTCACTGAGTTCCAGAGCTCACTCCAGGCGGACTCGAGGCTGAAGAGCCGGTGGTCCAAAGCGTCACAGCTGGACTCGTTGGATTGAAGCAAACGAAGAAGAGGAGGTCTCCATGCTGGTCTCCGCGCACAGGTCTGGAGAGGTGTGAACTTGTTTGAGATGGGACCGTGATAAATGGATAAGCCAGGGAAAAATGATCACACTTGAAGAGGTGTGAACTTCTTCAAGAACATGATTGGATCGAAGTGGATCGAAGTGTTTCTTTTTCTGGATGGCCAATGGCTATGCTTTTTTCCTCAGAACAGATCGAAGCGACAGGCATAGAATCTCTAGTGCCACCATTGGTCCAATTGGACCACTTGAGGGACCAATATGGACCAATCTTGACTTATGATTCACGATGTGCTTTCTATATATTCATGCTGTGACTTTACTTCCACTTGAAGCCTGTTGGGTAACCTGAAGCCTTATGAGGTTACCCAACAGGCCCCCGGACCACGTGGAAGGTGCCGGTCTTCCTTGGGCTCCGCGTTCTGAACCGAGTTGGGGTGGCGAGCGGCGTGCTCCGGGACCGCTGGACCGTACCGACCCCCATACTGACCGGAGTCGCGGCTGCGGTCGCGGATCGAGTCGCGGTCGCGGTCGAGTGGACTAACAGTCACATCTTTGTGACCGCGACTCCATCACCAACAGTCACCAACCTGCCTTCCTTCTCTGATGAGAAGCCTGGTTCCCTGTCCTTTGCAATGGGATCCCAACCTGTGGAAGGATCGGTGCTTTCATATGCCGAAGGGGGCGCCGGGCGAAGGAATGCGAAGACCATCTCATCAATGGCCGAGATCCCACCCCAGACTCACCATGCGCATCGTGCACCTCTCGCTCACATGGTTCCAGAAAAAGAGCGTTCGTCCGTGCGGTAGGATGGGGTTCGGTCATGCTGACGAGGTGCCTTGCTGACGAAAGGATGCCAATAGTCTTTGTTCTGCAAGTCCCAGAAGATGTAACCTCACCCAGTCCAACACATTTTCGCTGCTGAGTCATTAGCTTATAGTCAGCGAAGGGGAAAAACCAATCCCTTGACTTAGAGTCGACTGAAAATCACAGAGTCATGATTCCCTAACCTAATAACCATGGCCTTCAACCCAATAGCAAAAGGAACCTAGTAGGAATGGCCTCCAACCTAGCGATGGCCTCCAACCTAAGAGCAATGCTTTAGGGGGCCAGTGGATGAGATTGGAAAGAAGTGGATAGGATGACCACGTTCAATCCGAAGACCAAAAAATGTGCGGTTTTCACTCCCTGGAAAACCATGAGGATTTCAGGGGGTGAAGTGGGACTTCACGAGCTGTTTGGGATTCGGATTGAACGTTGGTCATTCCAAAAGGCCATTTTCCAAAGGCTCATTGGACCCTCATAGGGTTCTGACCCTCGCAACTTGGGTTTTGGACCTCAAAAGGTTCTGCCTCTGGGAAAAGGCCACTTTCCAGCCTCGTGAAGGATGAAAACTTAGTGTAATTCGACTGGATGGTTTCACATTCTATCCACTGGTCACCATCCAGGCCGCTTGGCTGGTGAAGAAAACTCAGAGTCTTGGCCCACCATGGCTTTTCTTCCTGCCCTGCATGGCAGGTATCGGACCTGACACCTTCGCAGGGTTCCGGACCCTCCAAAACCCTGTATTGTGTTTCAGGGCCCGGATTCTTAGGGTGGATTTCTAGATCTTTGTACCGAAGAACCATCGTTTTGCCGATTTGACAGTTTAAAAAAAGAAAAAGAGAACAGTTGAAGTAAAACATCGTAAAACAATATGGTACGTCAAGAACCGAGACCATTGGACACCGTTTAAAAAAAAAAAAAAAAAAACATTTCTTGTGTCACTTCCCACCGGCGGCCGGTCCGCGAGTCACACGCCGTGACTCGCGATGGAGCGGGGCCGGCCACGCTGCGGTGGGGCAAATAGACCATGGGACTGGAATGAATATGTGCTACCCTAAGGATCCGAAGGGACCCTCTTTAGCGGTTCCAGCCCTCTAGTTCACAAGGGTTTGGGGTCCCCGAACACAAGCAGCGTGCGGATCCTTAGGGTACCAAGCTACTAGTAGCAAGGATGCTATTAGTTGGAGGCCATCGCAAGTATCCTAACAAGGACGCTACTACCCTACGGATCCGGGTAGTAGAAAGCCATAGCAACTTACGGTTTACTTCGGAGTCCGGACCCCCTTTTCTCGGGTGTGCCGTGCATCGATTCTTATAGGGTACCTTGACCCCGACTTCAACCAGCCCCCTATATGCCTTGGTGTCCTGCAGGGCCCCCCCCCAAAGCCTCACCAGGTTCAGAGATCAGAAGATGTTGCAAAGATCTTTGAAAAGAAACTTACCGTAACTCACAATATCTACGCTGTTCGGAATCACTTGGGTCCGGAAGACACCTCATGCGACTCATGCACAGATCACTCACAGCGAGACGTTCCGCGGGGTATCCAACACGACCTGTCTGGGACTGGAAGATGTACCGATCAGTTCCCAGACGCTCCATGCGACTGCCAGTTCGGACTGCCGAGAAACGGCCAGGGGTGGTGCCAGGGGGGTCCGTCTGGGGCGGCAGTCCGAACTGGCAGTTTCATTAGGCGTGTCTGGGGTTTGGGTGGTTGAAGTCGGGGTCAATGGTAAATATTCCAGTCCCAGACAGGTCGCGTCTTGGAGAGTGACTGCTAGAAGTTGATGCAAAACCCTAAGAATCCGGGCCCGACACCTGATTTGCAAGGGGTCCGGACCCGAACCAAACCCCTACTAATACCCCAGAAGTCCAGTTCGACTATATTTTGACCGGCTGAAGGTTTCAGGAAGTTCCCGAAATCAGGTCCATTCTTTTTATAGTCGACTGGACTCCCAAGGAATACGTATTTGGAGGGCGCGGATTCTTAGGGATGTGAGGAAACCTGTGCCATCGGAGGACGATGTGTCCACAGACGGTGTGTCCACAGATCTGGGAGTTATGACCACACTCCCTGGAACTAACATGGAAGTGGGTGGCATGACCCTTGGAAGGCCCTGTTGTGTGACCTCCACTTCCACGTTAGTTCCAGGAAAAGTACTAACTTACACTTGTTGCTGCGCAACAGCATGTTGATTTGCTGCTTCCTAACCTTCACTCCGAACAAAAGCGCTCTCGACCACCCAAAAAAAAACAAAAAAGAGCTGCCACGAAACCCGCCTCTCGACCGCGCCGGGCAGAACGCCGCCCCTCTGCATGTTTTGAGGGGACGGTCTCGCGCTGCGGCGGGTTCCCCCGCTTTCACGACCGCTCCACTCCGCAGCGCCGTCTCGGACCCTGGGTGCCCGGGCGGGGATCCGAGTCTTGTCGATTCATCCAAATGTTTGCATTGTTGAAGACCACCTGGCACGTCCCACTTCCAATCCGACTCGAGAAACTCTGCCAGTTGACGACTCTCTGCGAGGTAGACGGTATACCACTTTGGAGGTAATATCCCTTTTACAGCCTTTTACCATAACCCACCATTGTCAGGCCATCTATGACCCTGCTGTGCGTGTTCGCTGCTGGCCGGAGCAGCGCAACAGAGGCGGCCGTTTTCAGCCAGGCTGAAGAGGCGCAAGCTTTCTCGATACCCTTCTTAAGGATTTGTCCGATTGGAGTTGAGAATTTGCGGCACAAATCTAAACGGCCCCGTGGTGCTCGATCGGCCCAAAGACAGCGATCACTTCTTTCATCGAAGAGGCTGGAATGTGTTGACCCAAAGGCTCAGAAAGGACCCTCAGTTCGCTAGGGTTTTGACCCTCACAACTGGGGGTTTTGGACCGAACCCACATGTAGCAGTTGGTTCGTGGTTCGGGGTCTCTGGGTAGAAGATCTCAGCGTTCTTCATGCGAAAAAAGTAAGACACCTGATTCTACTTCACCTGGCTGATTCGGTGTCAAAACGCACTCTCACACCGACAAGGTCACAGAAGCGCGGACGAACGGGCCCCATCGCAGGTTCGGTTCGAACGCATGGTCTAGCATAGCGAAGACGTCTACATCGGTCATTTCAGCCGGAAACTGGAAAGCACTTCTGAAACATATTGTACTGTTCAGCTTAACGAGCCGAGCTTGTGACATGGATGTGGTCAATCGGTGTGATGAATTTGACATACGTCCTCATTGCTTTCAGCGAGCTGAAGAAGGTTCAGAGAGCTACGGAGGCTCACCAGGCTTGCCTCGACGCTGCGGTAGGGCAAGACACTGTTGGAGTCGCCTGGCTGGGTGCCGCATCGGTGCCGCGGAGTGGGGTGCCCATGCCCAGGCCGCTGCTCATTGGTGACCAAAGGCAGAAAGGAGAAGAAGACGGTGCAGAAATGTATGGATTTGGCGATCGATCCATAGAAGTAAGGCGTTTCAAACGTCAAATTGTTCAAGAAGTTTTCCTGCAGACAGTCCAAAGAGATCCCCCAGCCCGGCGTACCCAATTAATTGGATGAGATGAAAACAACCCCCAGACATTCCATGGGACTGCCATAGATGCCGCCCCATTGACCACCCAAACCACCCCAAATGTAGGCATATATGGCAGTCCCATGGAGCGTCTGGGACATGGACACAGAAAATCCCCGTGGTTTGGACCATGTTCCAAATACCAACCCAGTGGTTTTGAGTCCCTGTGGTCCTCTACAGAAGTGCTTTTCCCTACCCAACTGACCTCGGGACCTGGAGGGATGTTCTTTTCCGTTTCCGCCCTAAGAATCCGAATGGGCCCTCCTTGGCAGGCGTCGCACCCGCCCTGCTAAGACAGGGGTCCGAACCCGAACCAAACCCTATTGAGGGCCCCGGATTCTTCGGGCGCGATCCTCCGCTTCGCGCGGCGTGGCCCAGCGCGCGATGTGACGATGCGCGAGCGAAAAGCTCCGCTTCGCGCGGCGGTTTGAGCGGCTGTTGCTTTCTCCCTGCTTCAACGTCCCGACACCAACCTGAAAACACCAAGGTCTTACAGTTGCAACAGATGTAGATTAAGTTTATTCCATTACCAGTTACCAGTGGATGATGAGGTTCCAGGCCTCTGAGATTCTTGTAGACCGACTGTCACAAGTAATAAGGCAGACCCAAGGTATATGCAGTATAGGCTAGGTCATTAGAACTCATCTTCTCTCCAAAAAGCAGCACGGTCACAGTCCTCGACACCGTCCCGGTTCGCGCATGCGGTTCTGGGTGCCCCTGCTGTCACCCAAGTAGGAGTTATAGGCCTGGTGAGCTCTGCCATGGTCGGCCCCACGCAAGGCAGGCGCACCGTCTTGGTTCGTCTTCTTTCGACGGAAGAAGACGACGAGGCCCTTTCGGAGGTAGACAGTCTTGATTTGCTGTACAGATGTTGGATCCTACTCTCAAGGGATGGATTCGTGGCTTGGATTCTCAGCCCCTATTCGAGAAGGAGTAGACTAGACTCAACAAAATATCATGCCAACGCATGATAGCGGCCACCCCTCCAGCAGCTGGACCAGATAGATGGAAAGGGTCGAATTTCATGGGATGGGAGCTATCCTCCACGATGCTTGGGAGGATCAACCCTAAACCCTAAACGGTGCGACTCCTGAGTACTCCTGGCCCCACTCTGACTCCTGGTGTCCCTTTTCAAGAAGACGGCGTGATGTAGCTATACTATATACATATACATATACACAGGTGCAGGAGTTAGTGTATCTCATCGTGTCCTGGAAGATCGGGCGCTCGCCATGAATTCATAAATGTTCAGAATCCATGGATTCCTCAAGAGCTGCAACTCCAGATCGGGCTTCTCATCCTTTTCCCAGGGCACCACGAATGGAACCGGAACCAAAAACCGCCCTGGAAGAGGCCCGCATGGAACGTCTGCTCCATGGTTGGTCGCCCGGTTCCGGTCTCAAACGCCGGGTACCCGGAGTCCCCAACCAGGACCTTCCAACAGGTGGTTTTTAGAAGCCTAACAGGTGGTTTCTGGGCACCTGTTGTCACCAGGAAGCACCTGTTGGAGGGTCCAGGAACATGACTGTGGATCAAAACCGGGGTTCGCCCACCCTTGTGTCCTTTTCCCACCAAAAAGGAACAGATAAAAAATAGTAGTTCTTCGAGTAGGAAACCCCCGGTGGCGCCAAGCCGGACCAACACCTGCGGGTGGATGTATCGGTCTTTGATTTCACCCGATGCAGAGGGCAAAAATAGAAAATAAACTCGCAAGAACTCATTGTCTGACTGGTGCTTAGTAGGGAATAAGGGAAGTTTCGCCCCCAATAGATATTCTATTGGATCCATTCTCTCATTCCCTGCTACTGTGAGCACCAGTCAGTTGTGGATGGTCTGGAACCAACATGGAAGCTTTGCGGGAACGTGACGAAGATGGCTTTCCTTGAAATCGTTGATCCGAAGTCAGTTTCTTATGACCCTTTTGTCTGGGGGATGCAATTGCCAAGGGAGACTGACGAAACTGAATTGACGTCTTGCCGCAAAGCCAAGGGTACCAAACTAGAGGTTTTGATGGGCATGCATGTCTTTGGTTGGAGTGTCCCCTTTGACCATTGTAATCTGCTGCCTACGACTCTGCCATCCATTGTCACTGCGTGGGAAAAGAAAAACAAGTACTCTGTTGAAGGACATGAAATTTGGAATGTCATGTGAACCACATGTATTGAAACAACACCGATGTGTATTAACAACACGAATGTGTATCAAAATAGGAAGGCTTCCCAAAGACCTCCTGCAAAAAGGAAAATAGACCAGTGAGGGCGCTCACGGCCCCTTTGCAAATGCACGCACCAAATTCATTAGCCCAGAATGACACCTCATGTTGTATGGCACATGTGAAAAGAATAGCTACCTGTGATCGCTGGTGGCACCAAACCCCCTGTCACTGCTTCACATGCCTTGCGAACATCACGCGCTGAAACGCGATCGATCGCGGGACGCGAAGGGAGACACGCGATAGACGGCCTCAAAGTCAAAGCGATCTCTGGGGTTGTACTCGACGGCCTCACCAGTGAGCCAGCTGAACAGGACGCATGCGTTGACACATCAGTCGCTGCGCGGATCTAGACATATAGAACTCTATTCCCACTAGAACTTGGGAGCGGCACCACAAAAGTCTTTGCGTGTCATCATCGACCCTCATCATCATCCTCCTCCTCCTCCTACTACTCCTCATCTTCACTTGCCGACTTGGAAAGAGAACAGGAATGGGATACGTACATTGCTAGTTGTTGATACTCCAAGCTGCGCTGAATTGCGCAAACACTTATAGAGATCCGGACCCAGGTCGCCTGGTAGTTTTATAGCGTTTGGCATAATTTGTTATAGGTATTTACATGTATTTACAGTGTTTTTGTGGTTTACCCGCAGGGTGCCTGGGGAGAGCGACGCGCCCAATATTTGATGGTATAGGGGTTACATTGTTATATATGTTGGTTGCGTTTTTGTGAGATGAGTAAGCGGCAGGTGGGGGGCGAAGTTCGAAAGTTTGTTGCGTTTCATGGTTCAGTGTCGTGCAGGTTTTGGCTTGATGGAATCGGAAGCAGTTTTATGTCTGTGTATATATAGTGTGGTGTTGTTGCATTTGGCATTCGAAAGTGATCGAAGTTTAGCTCGTTTGACTTTCCAACTCCTTTACTTTACAGCCGTTCTTTTAGTGGATCCGTTTGTGTTAAATTCTTTGATCGAATTGGCGACCGGGAAATTGGACGATGTGAGTGCTTTTGTGTTGAGACGTTCTTTAGATGAAGATCGGTGGGTGAAACCAAGCCAGTTCTTGAAACGGATCGCTCAACTCACGAAGTGAAAAAATGGTGCGAATGGAGCAAGCGCTGGGTGGGAGTGACCAAGCGGTTCCCCAGGCGCCTTGTTTACACCAGGCGACCTGGGAACCGCAACCACGTAGCTAGAATAATCTTTGGGTAGAGGTCCTCAAATAATTCAAATTACGCCCACTACATCTCCTGTTCCATCAGGGGATTCATGTCTCAATCCGGATGAGGTCGGGTCCGCCGTTGACCGGGCCGGCTTCTTAGCCCCTGAATCCGCCGTTGGGATCCTGCTTCGCCCCCCGGCGCGCTCTGCCTCTAACTCCTCGTCATCGTCAAAGAGAGGCTCAGCACATTTGTAGCACAGGAGGTAGCGTTGTCCCGCCTCCACACGCGTCTCCGGGCCACGAGGCGGGAGAGGACGGCGTCTCGGCGTCGCGGCGTCTCGGACCGGGGGTGAGGCGCGACGTCTCGACGTAGGGACGATGAAGAGTAGGGACGATGTCGTACGCAGTGCATCCCAGTTACCACTATATAAGGAACCATGGATTCTAGGTCTATGGTTTTAGTCTTTGGAAACACTGGTTACCAGGTATAGTGGTAACTGGATGCCCTGGGGTAGGGAATGAGCTCTTTTCGACGATGATGGTTATCCCAACGATGGTAGTGACCAACTCTGAATGAGCTCATCCCAGTCTGGGAGGTTGCGATGAGATCGTCCACTGAATGAGTCATATCATATCCCAACCTCCCAGCGCGACGATGGCGGATGATGGACGTGGCTCATGGTTCGGCCAGCCTTTCCCCAACAGGACGTGATGTTCTCTTTTCCCGACGGCGCGGCGCCAGGTTTACTGGGACACAGCCTCAACCACCAATGCTTACTCTTCAGGATTCACTCATTCCCTCATTCCTTGCGAGATGTTTGTCAGAGTCCTTCTCAGGAACCAAAAGGATTCGTTCTCAGTCGATCCTCCAGATACCTGGAACAATCGATGTGCTCGTGGCCTTAAAGGAGTCACCTGAGTCTCTTGTAGATACCTGGAACAATGGTGTCAGAGAAGAATTACAGTAAAGGAATTGGTATCGCGTGTTCAATAACCTAGGCAAGTGCAAACGGGACATGAAAATGTGTTGTCGTTTTCTGCATGGACACCGAGAATGAGTGAGCCAACCCAGAATCTCGGCCTGTTTTCTCATGTTCCACATCAATTGAGGTCACGAAAAAAGAAAAACGAAGCTCAAGTGCTACCAACGCCACCAAAGCCGCCACCCACACGGTTTGGGGTTTCTGGCCGGGAGGGTCGGATCCTTGAAAGATGTTGAAAGACTCATTTGCCAGGACCTTCGAAGTGACCTCTTGAGATCCCAGAATGAGGTCACTTAGGTCTCTAAAAAAGGTCACTTAGAGTCTCCAAAAGAGGTCACTTTGAAGGTCCTGGTGGAAAACATTATGTTTGGGGGATTCATATGGATTCATGCCATGCGGATTTGTGGTCTGGAGGTTCACCATTATGGCGACGGTCAAGAATGTCATGCACGGCGCATGTCTAAGGATTCACGAGGATCAAAGTGAGACTCACTGCCTGCTTGTCTAGTCAGGCAGCACCCACACAGAAATTAGTAACTCCATATTCTTTGTACTAAGTACTATGCTTCACAGGTCTCACCTATTGTATTCCTCATCAACTGTACCCCCCATGACACACCCAACCATCTTCGGTCGAACCAACCTTCTGCGCAAAATCAACAAATCAATACACCGACAGCCTGACAGCTTTCAGCCTTTGCTTGTGGCTCGACCCAAATCCAACAAAGGACCCGCGAGCCTTTTCGCAGGTGGGACAGCTGAAGCCACGATAAAAGTAGCTCCCGCCCGCCACGGCGAAGCACATCGCGCAGTGCAGCGCGCTGGACTCACCTGGGTGGCGCAGGGCTGGGCCGAGGTGGGTGGGGTGAATGCGGGGGACTGGCCCCAGGAGAATGACCTTCGTTGACCTACTTGGAAGGTCAAGGAGACCGTGGACCAGGGCTCTGGCTTTTGACCCGTCCCCATATTGCTTGTGGGTCTAGAAAGAAAATGAAAGCGATGAAAGCTATATACAATGGTGTTACGGCCCGAACCCTCACTCTGACCCAATACATGCGGATGTGGATTTGATGGTTTCTCATGATCATCTTGCATCTCTTCATGCGATTTTCTGGTGACCCAAACAAAACAACAATCCGCTTTGAAAAAACGGCCATTGCAAAACGGCAGCGTTTTGCGATTCGTTCGGTGCCATGGTTCAGATCCAAACACTGGTGCAAAGCAATTGAGTAGATGGCACAAACCTTGAAACGATTCCCCAGACACTCCATGGGACTGCCATATATGCCGCCCCATCGACCCCTTTTCAACCACCCCTGGCCGTTTCTCGGCAGTCCGAAGAACGGCAGTTCCACGTGTCGTGTCTGGGTTCATCCGACTCCTCTTCTTCGGTCCTTTTGGGTGATTTGGCGGTTTGTGATCACGTGCATCCAAACATGTTACCTTTGTGTACATCCTCTATCATCCAAACATGGCTCGTCTACTCAGTCCACTCGGCTACCGGGTTTGTGTGGAACGACGGTCAGGTGAGGTTTGGAACGTCCGTCAACTCCCTGAAATCAGACGGTGGCCCACGGATGGCAGAGGCTTTCCCGCAGAGACTCGGATTCATCACTCAGAAGACTCGCTGGTCCAAAGACCCGTTTTGATTTTTGATGTCTTCCATGGTCCACGGTCCGTTTTGATGAGGACTGGGGAGTGTACCTCTTTCTGATGAGGACTGGGGAGTGCACCTCTTTGATGAGGACTGGGGAGTGTACCTCTTTCTGGTGTTCTAGAATTCGGCAGGGGCAGGTGATGAGTCGCAGATCGGTCCAGACGGGTGGGTCAGGTGGCTGGATCTGGTCCAGACCTGGTCCAGACCAGTCATACCGCACAGATATCTCCGGCGAAAAGGGATGGATCCACACCCATCAAATCTGCAGCAATTCTGTGGTTACTCCTCCAGCTTCCAGTCAGTCGTATTGTTTTTGTTGGTTCAGAAACTCGAAGAGCTTCAGGGCATCCAGTTCTATGAGCCTTCAGGTGCATCCAGCCACCCAAGATGTATGTTTTCACTGAAAAAAATGATGTCTTTTCTTCCCGGTCCATCCACCACCACCACCACCACCACCACTTCGACCTCAAGCCGCACTCTTCGCCCCCCCCCTTTTCGTCCAGGTACTCCGATCCTCTTCCGGACGTTCCTTGAGGCCTCCAGGTGGGCACGCACGACCGCGACCGCGACCGTGACCGCACGGGAGGGTCGTGGTGGTGCCTCGACATCGACAGGAGCTGCACTGCCTGGAACTCACATCGAAGTGGAGAGCGCTTTTGTTCGGAGTGAAGGTTAGGAAGCAGCAAATCAACCTGCTGTTGCGCGTCGTGAAGGTTCAGTGTAAGTACTTTTGCTGGGACTAAACATGGAAGTGGAGTGAAAACCCCCTGTTTGCAGAGGATTGAACATGGTCTTCCTTTCGGGGCCATGCCGTGCCACTTCCATGTTAGTCCTAGGGAGTGTACCCAGATGGGGTGAAGGCAAGACGCCTGACAGGATGAAGAGCAGTCTCCCTAGAAGAAGAAGGGATCCTCCCAACTCCAACGGCTGTTCTCAACTCGTGTTGCACATCCCCCAACTCCCACACTCCATTCAGCAGTTCAATCCCCAAAAGGAAAGACTCTAAGACTCTTACAGGAAGTACAGCAAAAGTATACAACCAGCTCTGCGGTCAGCGTAAAAACATCTTGTAATCTTGATTAATCTGGATGAGTCGGGGGAGTCATAAAAAATAACAACACAAAAACAATGATTTGCGGAGTCCTTGATTGATGAGACCAGTCTGGAAAAGGTTTTTTGAGTTTACGAGGCCTGTTGTAAGCGATGATTTCTGTACCAGAAGATTTTTTTGAAAAAGCTGCGAGCTGAAATCACACGCTCACAACAGGCAAACATAGGGAGACCTCCTAGGCAGCGACCCCCTGGTTTCGGTTCGGGAAATAGATCAGTCTAGTCATTGTGCCAGTGTGGTAAAAATAGGGCCGACCACAACCCTCTGGTATGCAGACCTGCTGGTATAGTGAATACCCGGCCAGAATGTGGGCCCTCAAATACATCGGGTTGGCGAACCGGGTCCGTTTTCCCCCTGCCCTTTGGAGTTTCCGACCCCCAAGGTGGAGAAGGCACAAACTCGGGATTCTTCGGGTCGGATGTAAGGCATCGATGTCCTCGCCCGATCGACCTAATCATGTCGACGGATCCGTACCGCGATGCTTTGGGAGTGGAGCCGAGTGCGATTCGTCCGGCCATGGAGAACACCACCGTCAGATTAAGGGGTCTTCAGACTGGTCGATGTTCCACGCAAACCCTGGGGTCGGAACACCTGAGACGTGTCTGAGTCTTTAAAAGACACACCTCTCAATGGTCTGCATCTAAGAGGAACCTGATTTTTAGCACTTGGTTTTGAGATGTTTTGAGGCCGTAAGGGGCACTCCCTGCTGTCGTGCTTCAAATGGGAAGATGGATCTCCCGCGCTCGCCGTTCGTTCGACGCTCCGCGACGCTCCGCGTTCGAAGCTCTGCAGCTTCACTTCCAGTGGTTTCAGAGCTTCGATGGCACCCGAGAAAACCCCACATGTCCTAGACAGATGGGGGTCGAGAAAAGAACCACCAACATCCAGGTCCAGCTCACTTGTGCCATCGAAGTCTCAATCCACATCGACCGGTCCGCAACATCCCCATCGATTGCGCCAGGCCCAGCCGAAGCGAACCACTGGGAGCGAACCAGGCGCCACTCGCCACACGGCTCCGCCCCCCCTCAGGGGTTCGACTGCCAACACAAAAGAAAACTCAAGAGCCCTGAAGAAAGATCGGAACCAAGGTCGGCTCAGATTGTTTTGAAGATGGTCTTCCGTTCAGACTTCCTGCCGGTGTGGTTCTGGAGTTCTTTCGTCAGGCGGGGGGGAGAGCAAGAACGACGACTTGGCGATGGAAACGGGAAGACAGCCGGGCGGACCTGGTGACCGGGGCGACCCTCCCTCATGTACCGCCAGACATGGATTGTCAAACCTCCGAAGAAACCTGACAAATTGACATCTTCATCAAGAGTTGACAGAAATTGGACGCCCAACATCTATTCCATTCCCCGACTTCTCTCCCCGCGCCTAGGTCTAAGACATCCACATATACCACGTCGTGCTCGTGCGTGCCGTTCTCCACCACCGGTGCCGCGGTGGCCCTCCAGGTGAAACACCCGCGGTAGGCCCTAGGTTGGGGTTACAATCCAACAATTCGTCAGCTATGGAAACCCTAAACCTTCCAAGTATTTCCAATATGTTCCAAGACCATTCAAATCCGATGGGACAATATGCAGTGAAGATCTTGGTTGGTTCATTTTGACCCATGCTTCAAGTTCCTTCTTTCCAATCTTTCCGTTGGGGGGCCCTTGGTTGCAGACACCCCGCCGGTGCCGTGGAGGAGAAGGACACCTTCGGTTCCGAGGTCACGGTGTCGAATGCTGTCGCATGCGTCTGTCGCATGCTTCAAGCAAAGACTGGAAACATCTCGTTGGAAGAAAAGACAACAGCAAAAGAAATTTCAACCACCAGCAGTCACAAAGGGGTGCCGAACTTGGAGGATAGAGGTGCCCATTATCCATTCACTTAGGGACTAAAAACCATCCCTTTGTGACTGCTGGCAAGAACATGTTCAAACAAATATCAGACAACCATGTTCAAACAAACTTCGAACATTGGAAACACATGCGTTTTTCTCAAAAATGCAAACCTATGTTGGAGCCGCGGGGTGCTTCGGTTTTTCTGGTGTGCCTTTTGGCCTACCCTAAGAATCCGGGCCTCAAAAGGGTCCGACCCGTAGAAAGCTACTCACCAATTAAGACCGCCAACAGGTCCCAACAACCAGTGAGGGTGCTGGTGGTAAAACAAAATAAAAGAGACTTGGCTTCCACCTGGTTGAAGCTGGCGAAGCTTGATTTTCCAGGACCTCTGGCAGTCCGGTCGTTCTCCGATGTTTTTCCTTGAGTGGTATTTCACGTATGCTGAAAGCTGAACACATCCTTGGACCATCAAAACCGCAGATGCCAGAAGAATCCACCTTTGCTGAGTAGGTGGAAGAACGAGAGAGGAAAGGGAAAATGACAAGGAAAAGGACCATGAAAAGGAAAGTAAAAGGAACATGGAAAGGAAAAGCAAAAGCAAAGGCAAAAGGAAAAGAAAAGGAAAAGGAAAAGGAAAGCAAAACAAAAGGGAAAAAGAAAGAGACAAAGGACAATGAAAAGCGTCTCGCAGTTTCACCCGCCCCAGCCTGAACATGGACTTCTTGGTTGGTGTTGGCGGAGCAGCTGGCGACGAAAGGCGAAAGGCCAAAGCCGGGGGCCGCGGCGGGAAAGAGACGTACCCCGGGGCCCATTGGCTTCCAAAACGTCCGGCCGCGTGGGAGTTGGTGTTCCGTGGTGGCCGTGGTGGCCGTCTGTCTGTCTTGTGGTTCATGGAGCTCGCTCGCTCGGACTAGTTGGAACACTTCGTTCCATGCACACCCCATGTGGCCAGGTCAAGAAAAGAGAGCATAGTTCATCATCAAAGAATTGCTCAAAATGGGCCAAAGGACATGGGCTTTGGGTCCAACCTCTTGAGATTTAGGTAATCAGTGCCTACATCCAAACATCAACACCCACTGCACAGCGAAATCTCTACATCAGACTCAGGTGGAATCTCAGATCCTGGCTCCCGAGCTCAGGATCGCGGGCTGTTCCCCCCGAGCTAGGATGACCCCAACCACTAGAATCACTGGAATTAGAACGGTACTCCAAATCCAGCACTCAGAGATGCACAAAAAAATGTGCTTGGTCTAGAATCTTCTCACAATTACTTCCTCATACTTCCCTATCAAGAATCCTTCTCCTGTCCTCCACCGGTCGCTCCCAAAAAGACCCCAACCTCGCGCCATCCTCGCCTGCGGCAGGGTCGCCCTTGAGGACCAATCGCCCCAGCCTCCGGCCCTTCATCTGCCGTAGCAGGCGCCTGAACCGGCCGTGCCCAGCCGTGGGCAGGCGCCGAAAGCAAGGCCAACACCGGATAGGATGGACACCAAGAATCGTGGTAAGTCATGATGGACGGGATGGATTCGGGATGGATGAATGAAAGCTGTTCCAAAAGGGTCTTTTCCATTCTTGGAAGGGCAGTCATGGGCGCCTTAGTGAAGAGTGGAAGCACCGATTCGTCCTTTTTGCGGTGTGAAAAAACGAGCTGATTCGTCTCATCATATAACTTCTATATTGGTCTCATTCATTCTCCCATATTCTTTTGTTGGAAGTCCACTTTCCTCTACCAAGGGGCGGGGGGTCCACGTCCATGTTTGTTTTGGGGGGAGGGTGATGCTGTCGTCCTGCTGTCCCCCAAACACCAAAACACGAAAACTGCCAGGGAAGCCGAAGGGTGGGCGAGGATGAGAGTGATTCGACTGACTGGTCAAATGAACCAATTCCTCAAATTATACAAACAGGGATGGTCAACCAAAACCATGGTTTGTATAGGGTGTAGGTTTTGACCCAATTTCGTGTAAGAAGCTGTTCTAGAGTTCGTTCTGTTCGCTCCGAATTCTGCGTCTGCGCAATATTCTCTCTTTGCGAGATACCGACATCGGCGGACAGATGATGGCAGGTCCAAGCTCTGTGAAACCCCTGGTAGGTTGACGACGACGACCACCACCACGACGACGACGACGACGATGATGGTTGGACAAGTGAAGTTGGTACAGTAGCCGTTCTTAAAGGAGAACTGTTCGCAGGTGCTTTTGGGCACGGATGCAGTACAGCCAAGCAGGTTGCAAACACTGAGCTTCGGCCACATGAAGCGGTAAAAAGTCGACAGTACTCAACAGGCCCTAAGCTCTAAGCGCAACCCCGGAAGTCAAAGACCATATTTAACATCGTTGATCTGGTTTTGTAGTGAAAAACCCTTAGTGAAACAATGGTTGTTCGGTAAAGGCTATTAAAAGAATGGTGGTTCGACTTCTAGGGGCAAAGTATAATTGTAAAATCGGTAGGAGCAGCTTGCCGACTTTCGCTTCTGGGTTTCGATATTGAGCGTGTCTTTCACAGCGCAGCAAGACGCCTCAAAATCCCATCTTTCGGCGAGGTCTCTAAAGGCAAGGACTCGGAATCAAACAATAGGACTCCAAGTACCTCCTTAGAAGGTATTTGGACCCTCTGAACCCAGAAGGTACTTGGAGCCCTAGGGAGATAGTTTTCGGGGATTCTTTTACGACCACTCCACGCTTCACTGCCCCACGCTACGCTCCCGGCCACGCCTCCTCCGCCGCTCCTCCGCCTGGAGATCCGCATCCTTCATGCTGCGTGCCGGCCTGGGCGGCGGCACGCGCGGTCCCGACGAGAAATGTGGACGGGGCGGTCAGTCGGGACGTGGTTAGCCCACCAAACGCTCAACCAAGCCCGTGAAATCCGATCTTCCATGCAGTTCTCCCAAGCCACTCGTGTAATTGCCCCCACAAACACAAAAAGGGACAAGACCTGCAAATGGGATGGGCCAGGAGATCCTGCTTCACCTATTATAATTACCTGCAACGTTTCATGGAGACCATCATGGACCAAGGCTCCAGGTTTTTGAAACGACCCCATCCCCATGTGAGTTTCACCCCTGGAACCGCGGAACTGCCGTGAACCGTTCCGTTTCTCGGGGGGACCAGCGCCATCTCCGCGGACCAGCGGCTTGTTGGAGGGCCCCGGAAGCAGGTACTGCGGGTGTGCGAAGCGCCGCCGCAGCTGCAGCGTGCCAGTGCCCAAGAAGGGCTCCCAGAAGCGCACCGTGCCATCCTGGAGAGGGCTGGCGAGAGCTGTGGGCGCGCTGGGTGTGGGTTGTTCCACCCAACATCTGGTAGGAACGGAGAGGTTCCAGCACATGCCCACGGAAATGAAAGAATCTTGATGAAAGAACGCATCTTGATTAAAGAGCTTGAGTGGACTTCTACCCTCAAACAAAACATCAGATGTTTGAATCCATGGATGATTCTTCACATCAGAAATTGCTGCAGTCCTTCCATCTTCTTTGGGATCTGGCATGCAGCTGGAGGTATCTAAATCTCATTCATTCTAAATCTCATATATCGATGGCAGTCTTTCAGATGCCCGTCGATCAGTTCATCTTTCCAGGTTGCGCGGCGTCTTTCCATGCGTCCTGTCCCAAGGATCGTCGTGTCTGGGACATGTTTGGTTGACCGGTGGCCTCAGGTACTTGGCTTCCAGATGAACAAGACGAGACCCTGGTTCCTCTACGAGGCCCAGCTGCGGTTTTGGGTTGGGGGGAAGGGTGGTGATGTCATGTGTGGTTTCATGTGGTGGTTTCGATCCAAAGCGTCTCCGTTTCATGGTGAGTTTCACCCAAAACACACACACCCCGAGTCGACTTCGGAGACTCCGTTTCAAGTCGAGGACGGCGAGGCTTTCTCTTCGGATGCATCTTCTGAGAATCCCAACCACCCAGACGCGTTCACAGCTCGACTGGTCCCTCAAAACCTAGGGATTGGTTCGACCCCAGACCCCTCCAGAGGATTCGGGTCCGACCCCTCCAGAGGATTCGGGTCCAGGGTCGCGTCTGGGCAGATGCTTTCGAATCGGTTTTTGGGGGGTTGGGTCCACACATGCAGAGTCGAAGGGATGTGCAGGGTGTGGACCAAAGGGATGTGCAGGGTGTGGTAGGAAGCGTTCGTCCGTCCCGAAAAAAGAGTGTTCTCAAGAAAGCAGAGCTATAGGGACCAAAGGATGAAAGCATGTGTTTTCCTTATCCTGGCGATCAGTTCAGCAACTCCAAAATACGCATGGGCATGGGGGTGTAGTTTAATAGAGAGGTCTGACACCAACACCCATTGGTCTATTTCCCTTCTTCCGGGGACCTTTGGGAGGTCTATTACACACCCAAATGTCATCAAATCTCCATACTCCAGACTTGAGCCCCCCCCCAAAAGCCACCCGGTCCTCTTCAAAGACTGCCACCTCAGAATGCTGACGTGCTGAGCAACAAAATGCTGCACCGTGCTGGGCTTCTGGAGGGTTTGCCCAACCGTAAGGATGAACTGGATGAAACCTAATCCAAGATCTTCTCAAAAACCATCTCGAATGTCGACTTTGATGGTTTGACTTGTATAAAGACCCCTCCGACTCCCTCTCTCTCCCCAAGCTCATGGATACCAACCCTGGTCTATTCGCATCCATGTTCCAGTAATCCATGGAACCCCGCCCTGAGTGGCTTCGAAAGTAGACTCTCCCTGACTTGGAAGTCCAAGAGCTGAGCCAGCGAAGGGCGCCAGGGCCCCAGAGCTTCGAACCCTTCGTTCAGTCATTCCTGTCCTCATATGGGTCTTCCAGTACGGGTGGAGGGCTTTCGTCAGTGGCGAAACTGATGAGTTGGTTGAAGTGCCAAAGGAAAGGAAGACAACCGAAATGCATTGCAGAGATGGAGAGAGGAACGAGTGGGACAATCGGAATCGGACAGGGGCTCTTCACTGATACGAAGCACCCCAAGAATCCGGGCCCTCTGCAGTACATCGGGTTTTGTGGACCCCTGCGAGGCTCCGACCCCTGCCATGGATTGCCCAAAGGATTCTTTTAGGGCACCATTCTTGTTATGTTTAGTTCTTAAGTGAGTGGATACTGGGCACCCCGGGCACCTCCATCAAGCACCCCTTTGGAACTCCTCCACTCTTCCACCAAAGAGCCCAGGAGTGAGCGTCACCCTTCAAGTTCGTCCCACAGCACACGTAGGCCTGGGCGCGAACAACGTCCGTAACGCGAGCGCGATTCCAGCGTCCAACGACGTCGGCTGCGCGGAGCCCAATGGGCACCAAAAGGCTGGTATAGTTGTCCGACGGCGAGTCGAGTCTGACGAAAGATGAAGGGCCGGCTCCAGTCCCCTGGGTCTCCTGTTCCTGAACATCCTCATGCTTCGCAGTCTCAGTGCCTTTTTGTGTGATCCAACACCCGTAGCACTGCGGTCACCGTCCTGCCCGGTCAAAACCGCCTTCCATCCAAGGCCCTCTCCTTTCTGCGTTTTTGAGGGGGGCCGGGCTGAAACGACGAGCCCGACGAGCCCCCAGCCCGTGCGGAGGAGCATGAATCAAGTGAAACGTTTGAGGAGGCGATGGACCTCAGAAAGGAACGGAGGAGCATGTTGAGGAGAGCTACACTCCCTGAAATCATCATGCTTACGTGGAGGGCATCCCCTATTGCACACATAGAACATTGATGAGCATTTCGTCAGATTCTCAGAAGCAAGCCATCCGTGCGAGTCTGCGGCATAGGCTACCAGAGGTTCCCATCGTCATCCGTTATCCGTGACGGTACCAGGGCGGAGTGAAACGAACGCGTTCTTTCTGAGCTATCACCTGTTGGCAGGGACAAATGGTCCTCCTTTCCTTGCCACGTCCACTGTTGGCGGGAGTGTACCTTATGCCGCTCTGATGGGCTCGCCAGACATGGCCCCAGGAAGGTGGCTCGCAGCCGGGGGGCATCACCCAAGTGCCTCCACCCAGGGGCGCCACCGTCGGACTACGCACGCGCGCCTTGAAGGAAAGCCCAAGCAAGAGGCTGCAGTGCAGCAAGGCATGCTCCAAAATCTAGCGGTGAAACACGGAGCAGTCGACTGGGGCTAACGTTCATGTGTATACCAGTATATAACTCAAGTATATATTATATAATATATAATATGGTCATATATGGTCTGTAGAGTCAGATCCAGAACATAAGCCATCTCATGAGTGCCTTTTTCCGCCGTGTTCAAAGAGCTGCATGACCCGCAAGAAACCATAAGAAACCACTTCTTGGGCAAAGAAGCCGTTGATGTCTTCACCGCCTTTCAAGAAAAGAACTCTTCCTTTGGCGTGCAGCTGCAGAGATCCCAACCACACCAGTGCAGCTGCACCAACAGCGCCCTGCTGTGCCAACAGCCGTGCCTTGCCCTTGCGCAGCGCACAGAAGAAGTTCGGAGTGCTGACCTCGCTGGGCGCTCCGCCGTGAACGCGGACATCTCCCCGGGCGGAGCGGCGGAAAGCACGACCGTGACGAAAGGGTGAAAATCATCACCCGTCCTCTAACCCTATAGCATCCGAGCTTTCCGTTCGACCATGTTTTTAATGGTTGACCTAGTTTTGTAGTGTAACATCCGTATATCAAATACACTTGACCATCGACCGTCTATATAGGACACATCCCTACCAGCACACCACTAACTAGAGGGTGGTCAAAAAAATAGACACCCCCTGACTGTGTATGTCCTTCCAATCGCCACTCCTCCGTGGTCCACTTCGCTCTTCAGCACCGTGTTGGACCGAACAACACGGACCGTGCGACGCTCTGACCGGTGCGGTCAGACTGTCCCAGACGAGGTCTGGACCCTTCAGGGACCCGGGTTCCACTCCGAACTGCGTCAAGGGTCACCTTCGAAACTTTAAGCCCTATTGGTGAGGGGAGCCGGGAGAAAGGCCTGTTTTCACGGTGCGTCCTGTTTATTTGAGTTCAACGAAGTTCAATGATGTTAAGAAGTTTGAGCTCAGAATGTAAACCTCCACGAGGCGGTTTGTGCACATCGGCTTCCGCTGCTTCGATTCCAATCATTAAACTTCTTCTGAACCCCGAAGAGATCTATGTAGTACAGACCGTCACATGGCTGTCACATGGCATTATGGCACCAAAAGACCTGTCCCGGTCAGGTCGAGGTGCCATGACCCATCACATCTCCAGCCATGCGAGGACCCTCCAAGAGGTGCCTCTTAGATCTCTTAGAAGGGGTGCCCCTTCTAAACCACCTGTTGGAAGGTCCTGGTTTAGAGCTTCTTCATCAAACCCTCAACCTTTACCTTCAGCAACTCACTCTGCACTCAGTTTTTGGGGGTGGGGAAGACACATCCTCCCAAAAACTGTGTGGAAAAAACAATAAAAACACGAAAACCCACCCCCAAACACCAGAGATTCCCGTTATTCTCCTGCCAACCCCCTCCCCGACTCCCTCCCCGACTCAGTTCGTCACCGTGTCCTCGGATTTGCTCTCCTGAGCAGAAGACGACGATCCAAAGACGGCTCGGTTCAACCGCCACGGTTCGACCCGCGGTCTTCGTCACCGAGGCGTTCGGGACACGCGAGCCAGTGTCGTGCGACAGGGGTATACACTCCCTGCAACTCACATGGCTGTGGGTCAAAACACCTATCCCCTTGCACCAGCATAGCTTGACCTCCTTGGTCCTTTCTGTTCATGTTGGGTGGGAAAAACCCACCCGGTGCCATGACCCACAGCCGAACGCGGCATCCGCACCAGCACCTTTTTCCCAGCAGAGGTGGAAGAACCCGAACTAGACTATCCTATACCAGCACCACCCAAAGGGTGGTTTATAGACCCCCCTGAAGATGTATTTTCCATCTAATAACCACCCCTTGGGTGGTGCTGGTAGGTACCCCCTGGTTACGGGTCCTAGTTCAGGTCACTTAACCCACCCACCTCTGCAGAGGTCTATCTTCGGATCGGTAGCGCCCTTCGGGGTGGAGATCGCCTCTCCATGTCTCTCCCGAGGTCAGTCTCAAGACGTCACAAGACGGGCCTATTGGAAGTCGGGGTTGAGAACATCCACTCACCTAAGGGCTAACATCTAATAACCACCCTGTCGACTGTGACTTGGAGTCACAGGTTTCTTTTTATGGTCTGACTCGGTGGCCCGAGTTCCAGATATTGTTCCTTGGCCCTTGGGTGGTGCCCCAAAATCGTTGAACTGGACTGGGGCCATGGGCCAAAGGGACTGTCCCATATTTCAGAGGATGAGTGTCGTGTGCACCGAGCCTCTCAGCGGCGACTTGGGGGTGCTTATTAGGGTTTCAGTGGATGATGGGTAGTCAAGGCCCTTTCAACCCGTGTCTCGTTCCTGGGAACACGAGTCTCCCTGGGAGCCATGGGACCCCTGGGAGCCTCCGGTCCTCGACATCCAGAGCGGTACACCCACCCTCTACAACAAAGAGACACACATCTCACGATGTCCCACGTCGGAAAGTCCAAGGCATCCTGCCCTTTTTGGAGTGCGACGCTCAATCCCCTGGCATATCATGGCGTCGGCCATTGGAGAATCTGATTCCGCCACCTGTCGTAAAATAAGAATACGACCAACTTGAACGTGGAGGTTTTAGGCTCTCCCATGAAACGTCATCAGAAAAACCAGCACAGGCGGCGTAAATGTTTTTGATGACTTCACCTCTGTCTGAATGTCCACCATGAAGGGGAGGTTCAAAACCCAAAGCCCGCTACCAGACTTGAGTAGTCTATTCTGCTCATGTTCGTCAATCCAGGTCCCCACGCCATCTTTACAGATCCAAATCCCCCGTCGAATCCTTCACCAGTCGAAACCTTCTGCCCTCCCAGATTGGCGCCTTATTAAAATAAAAAAAAGCAGACATGCGGACCGCCGTGCATTGGACGAAGCTAGGAAACTTCATGACGTTTCTCGGCCTAAGGTGGTCTTAAGACGTTTCTCGACCCAACGTCCACCGCCACCGTTAAAAAAGAAAAAAGATCAAAACAAGATAGGAAAAAAACCGCCGCCCACAGGTGGCGCGGGCCCCGCCGTCACCGACTGGGTGTTTTCTCCGCTGGGCGAGCGACCATGTAGGGGAAGCAGCCCACGTAGTGGTTGATGGCCGTGGCGCAATCGACGCCGTGCGGCGGCCGCAGCACGTCGCAGAAGCGCGGCAGGAAGTGCTCCTGACCGGACCGGACCGGTTCAGAAGCGAGAATGGAGCGAGGGACGCGTGGGGGGGGGGGGGGCACCCAAGTTGGAGCAGCTGCAACATGAAGAAGGGAACAATAACCTGGACCCTCCAACAGGTCTCCGAAATGGAGGGTTCTTAGGCCCTAACAGGTTTCAATTGGTGACCTGTTGGAGGGTGCTGGAATGGAACATGAAGTACATGGAGCAAATATGCTTCCCCTGGCCGCCCATGTTGTGGCGTGCTGTGGCGTGCGCGCGCGAGCTGAACGGTGGTTCTTTGCGACTGAAAGGGGCCCGGCTTGGTCCTCTACCGGTCCAGGGGGCCCAGGCGTCGACCGTTGGTGGCCGGAACGCCGTGTGGGGAAAGCGGTGCAACGCGTTCTGGGCCCGGAGCTTGAAATCGAAGAGTACGTTTCGACCTCCCGGGTCGAAAGCCCGGTTCGCCCATGACCGAAAGCCCGGTTCGCCAGCGCCCGGTTCGCAACACGGTTTGCTGGTCCGGGTCACCCCGAAGAGGTGTAGGCCCGACGCCGTGGAGCGCCGGTGAGCAAACGGATTCGTGGTGGACGTCAAACGAACGAACTCTCACGTAGAGCAGCGAAGGTCTACAGACTGATCTGGTGATCTGCGTCAGTCGTGAGATGTTTCTGAGATCTTCTCCATGTCCCGTCTGCATGCACCACCCAGCAGCTCATAAGGCCAAAACTGACCCACTGACCGCCAGGGGGGAGGATCCGCCACACGTATCCACCCTCACAGCCTCGCGTCCACCACACGCGGATCCAGAATCCATGCAACCAGGGTCGAACATCACATCCACGGGCCAGGGTCGAACATCACATCCACGGGCCCTGGATGTTGATGGGGGGGGCCTCGTGTCAGTCTGGATCATGAACAGCTGAAAAGAACCAAGCCCTTTCTGAACTCCACCCACCGTTTCATGTTATCCAACCGCTGCCAACGGCTATACCAAAATTCTTCACAGAACTTGTGTAAGACACCTTCGACCTTTCCCGTTGATGTGATTTGCCGACGTGAAACAAACAAAACAAACAAGCAAGCGTACCAAAACAAAGGAATAATCCAAAAGCAACCAGCTTCTTCAAAGTGACCTCTTTGGAGTGCCTCAGTGACCTTTTACAGGCCCAAGTGACCTCAAACCAGGTTATCAAAAGGTCCCTTTGAAGAACCAGGAACTAGGCACTGATTAAAGCCTAAGCTACCAAACATCAACCAAACAAGCAGCGCTCCATTCCCGTCCTGTGCCGACTGCACCGGCCAAATGCTGGCGGCCGTGCATTGGAACTGCCGCCCCGTGCGGCGGAGCTCGTCCTGCTCGATCTGCTCCATGTTCTGCGAGCGGGGCGGGCCGATGTCAAACCCTGATATGACCTGTCCCTAGAAGTCGAACCACCATTGTTTTCATAGCCTGAATCCTGAACCACCATTGTTTTACTAAGGGTTTTACACTACAAAACGAGATCAACCATTTTTAAAATGGTCTTTGACTTCCAGGGCTGTGTTTTGATAGGAAAAGACCATATCTTGGGTGGTTGGTGGCCCAAAAAGGGGAATATATACACACCCTAGATCTTCCAACTGTGCCAAATGTCTGCCTGTTCATCTATAAAACCAGCTAATTTGTCATAGTTGGAAGATCCAGGTATGTGTAGAGGCGTCGACCTTGTACCATACCTTTGGGGCCTGCGGTGGTGGCCTTGTTTTCTTCCCGAAGCCGCAAGAAGATCTGCGAGAATTCCCACGGCGCGTGGTTCTAGCTGTATACCTTTTGTGCAAACGCCGAGGTAAAGGTACCTATTGGTGGTGCACCACTGGGGTTTATGACCCCCTTCCCAATCAACCAACCGTATTGCCGGGCTCGGGATAGGCCTATGGCTGAAGCCGGCCAACGCTGTGGAGTGAGTTCGACCCGACGGACACCGACGGAATCTCATCGGGGCAAGCCGACGTGGAGTCGGAGGATTCGTTCCAACCAACGTGGAAGAACAGCTGGGAACCAAAGGTTCCAGAGGATCGATCTCTTTTTCGTCCAAAAGGGTTCTGTTCCTCAAAGAGGAGGAACAGGCCTCAAACATGGCCCAGACACTCCATGTAATTATGCCCATCGATGCCGATCAGTTGGGGTGGTTTGGGGGGTCAACTATAGGTATATATGGCCGTCCCATTAGTCGTGTCTGGGTTGGCTACACTCATCAACTGGCCGGATTCCGGGCAACACATCCGCCCGACCCGTCGCTTCTGCTTCACTTCTGGCAAAGACTCGGGAACAAAAACTGAAAAACACTCCCTACCAAAACAGTCACGTAAAACACGTCACTTCTTGGTAGGGAGTGTAAAAACCTTCAAACACTCCCTACCAATACCTGAAAAGAAATCACAGCACCTGGGACCATCGCCGCATTGTGAGGACCTTTCCAACAAAAAAGATGCCTCCGCAAACCCACATGGCTGTGGGTCAACAGCCGGAGCTTCAAACTCATCCTGGTAGGTTGACCTCCCGGGTAGGTTCATGACTTCCCTGGTCAACCAGTCAACCATAGTCAACCGGTCGGTTTTCAGGTGCCCCTTAACGAGTCGGACGGGACCGTGACCGTGACCAGACATGACCCGTCGGGCCTCATGAATCCCATTCAGCTCATCGGCCACTTCGTCCCTCGGTCGACACCGACGACGGTGTCGTCGCGACACGCGAGGGACGAGCGGCGGTGACACGCCGACACGCGAATCACGCGAATCACGTTGAACGCGACAGACGGAGGTGGAAGACCGAGAAAAGACGGGTGAAGTGATGCAAAAGCGAAGACCAAGGTGACGAGCAATCACCAGCAAATCACCACAGCCAAGACCAACGACCCACGACTTGTCGCGACTGGTCTCGACGATGCGACCAGTAGGTTGAAACTCCTGTTTCGACCTCTGGACGAGGTATTCACCGTGGCACTTGGCCCACAAGAATGTGTCAAGTTGGACAATAGACTATACCTGGACCCCCAGTCGGGGTGGTTGATGGACACCCCGAATCACCTCTTTCCGGGGCTATAATGGACACTCGGGTCCTCCGTGGTGCAAAACGTGTGTTCATCCAAGTTCGTCCTTGCAAGGTTCCAGATCATCTGCTTCTCTTCGAACTTCTCAGCCAAGGCCTCCAAAAGCGGACGAGCCAAGCTGAAAGGAACAGGAGGTCAGGACGAGTGGCACGGATCTGCCATGGTTACGTTGGGAGTATGCCATGACTTGGCGTAGGTCCTGTCGTAGGTCCTGTCGAAGACAAGGAATTCAGTTGGCTGGGCAAACTCATCTGTCGTCCTTTTTCTGCGACAGGCTGTTCTCAGTTCTCAGTTCTCCAAACGTCGCCCTTCACCTTGTAGGAGCACGGACGCTACTAGTTGAACCCTTTGTCTCAAATCTTACATCTGGCTTGAAGGGGGGCAGTTGATGAATCCACCGTTCTAGATGAAGGCTCCCTGGAATGGAATCCATGGTGGAAGTGGAATGGAATCCACGGCGGGCACGGGTTCGGATCACCATGTTCAATCCGGTGGTGCCATCGACGAAAGAATCACTCTTCCACGGAGTGTGCGAACCTCAAAACGCCCAAAGGTTGCCCTGGAAAAAGGGAAGACAATCCATCAGTCTTGAAGCGGCCAATGGGTCAGCGGCCAAGGTCGTGTTGGGTCAGCCGCGGGGTCAGCGGCGCAGCATTGTGCAACGTCCTTTTTTCTGGAGTTGGCCTTAAATAAGGTTCGATCCAAAACAATCAAGAAATGCTGATGCAGGCACCCACATTCAAATAGACCCACTTGAAACACAGAAACATCCCGTATAAGACCGCTTTCAATGACCATCTGAAGTAAATCTTCCACAATTGAAAAATTAATACTCTATGTTCTCATTTTGACCTCTACTTGAGAATTCCCTCCCAACCCGCCCTGTGGGCCAGCTCCTTCTCATGCTACATGCTCCGAACCCAGCCTTGGGCAAAGGCACTTCAGCTGGCAAAGCCTTCAGCACTGCCATGGGGTCCAAATCCGGGAGGAACCACATCTCGTAGAAAATGTTGGACTCCTCTGTGTGCTGCTCGGACGCCGCAAACGCCGCGCGGCCGGACGGGAGGGGATTCTGCAGACGAGACGTCCGACGAGTGAGGATGACCATGACGTGACTGAAAAGCCTGAAACCGGGATGAGGACTGAGGACAGGACCAAAAAAAATCAACTTGCTGAGACGAAGCGAGCTAAGCACGCTTTGCTGCAAGACTCCCTGGCTAGGCTTGCAGGATCCTTCTGAACTAAGAAGTATATGATATAATCACATATAATCCCTATACAAGCCAAAGCCCTCATTTTACTGGAGTTGGGTCATATCAAAACGCTACTCAACGTATATATAATAGTATCATGTGTTTCCTTTCCAGGAGAACCCTGAAAAGAATCCTTTCGTCATGGTGTCGAAAAACAGTTTCGAGCTACAGGAGCTTCCTGGAGTCGTGGTATTTTTGAGACACGAGCTGCAGGAGAACCTTCGAGCTGCAGGAATCGCTTCTGTGACGCCTCTCTCTGTAAGCTGCACGTCGTGCGAGGTGTCTGCCAAAAGAGGCACCCAAAAGAACGACTTGTCCTTCACCCCAAAACTGTAACACGCCATGCCCTGCCATGCCAACCATGCCCACACCCCCACTCCCTCCGCGAAAAGATCCACAACTCTTTCCATTGACTCTGTCCTGGCCAAGTCCCCAGGTAAACTTCAACCTGCCGTTGTTCGCCGCAGAAATCACACATCATGTCGACATCACGACATCATGTCGACGGGGTCTCAGGAAATTTGTCCAACCCCCCCAGACTCTTACAGTATTGGATCCAATACTCGCTGACTCTGGGCTCCAATTCTTCGACTCTTGGCTCCTTTCACCCCCTCTTGTCTGACTGGTGCGACGAAAAGTGTCGTAGATCAAGGGTGGCTGGATCATCCAAGGTATCTACAGGGGCGGTGAGTTCCACCCGAGTTCACTCCCGATCCGACCACGTCGCAGACGCTTGTGATGTTCATGTTCAACTCGCCACTCCCGACTCTGAAAATGGCCCAATCCTTAGTATTGAGTGGGTCTACCTCCCAGGGCCCAGTGGTGGATGGCGAGGTGTTCCAGGCCCTTCTCTCAAACAGTGATGTTCTTGTTGACCGACTGTTACAAGTAATAGGACAGACCCAACTTATATAAGTATATATTCAATTATATTCACCCTTGGGACTTGAGCCAATCAAGAGCAATCCATCCAAATGGGCGGGGGTGCTCTTCCTTCATTCCACGAGCGAAGGCGACGATGTCCGGTCGGAACGATCCTCATGATCTCGACGAACACGTCCGGCCAACAGGGATGGCATCGTAACATAGGTCCTTTCTGAATAGGGGGGTGCCATCCACGGATGGGAGGTGCTTTTCGTGTTTGTGGGAGTGTCGGGCGATGCTTCTAGGCCATCGGCAGATTTGGGCGCAGCCTGGCTGGTGAAACTGGTTTTGAGCACAAAATTGGGGGCACGCATTCTATCTTGCCATCGAAAAACCTGCTTTTTTTGTGGCTATGAACTCCACTTGTTTGAAGAGCCCCATCTCCAAACTGTGTCCAAAATCCCCTGGAAGTCAAAGACCACGAAACAACTTGCGCCGTGCGTGCGCCGAAGTAGACCGTGCGCCACGGAGCACCATTCCGATCAACGAAGGTGACGCGGTTTTCGACTGTGCCCTCCACCAGGAGTCAGACTGTGCCGACTGTGAAGTAAAGAGACGGAAGTGTTCAACCGACCCGGTACGTACCGACCCTGGGAAGGAAAACCCAGTTTCGACCGGTACCCATGTTCATCCGCTGGAGGAGTACCCTAAAGACCAGTGCTTTTCTAGTGACTCTCAGGCAACTGGGTGGTGGTGCACTTGATCCTCTTCAACGTCCGAGCGACCCCCCGGCCAACACAACCAGTTCAACGCCTTCGTTGTCCACGGAAGGCGCGGACACTGAAGTTCTCCTCGCGAAACTGGGCGTCGGAGAGGCCATACGCCCTGGTTCCGTGACTACATCGCATGAGCCTGAAAACCACTGATTTGTAGAGGAAAATGGTCAGGGTCCATGGTAGGGTGAATTGTCAGGGTCCAAATGAGTCTACTGAGGGTATACAACCTTGGTTGTCAACTGTTATCCACCTTGCTTTCCCTAAAAATGGCCCTTCGTCTTGGTGGAAAGAGGCCCAGCTCAGCTCGCGCAACTTGGCTCGCTTGGTACGATTCAAGGGGTCACGGTTTCTGGACGGTCAAGTTGCTTGATTCTACACACCAGGACCATCCAGTCGGGGTGTCCTGGCTGGACCCCACACTACCTATAGGCTTCCAGACAGGGCACCCCTTGGATGGTCCTGGCACACATGTCCTATCCAGAATTTTTTGCGCCCAATTCCCCAAGTGGTGATTTGGCTGCGGGTCAAAACCGAGCTACCTGGGTTTTTCCCACCCCAAATGAACAGACTGGACCATATCAAGGAGGAGCCATTTCTAGATAGGCCAGGCCCTGTGGGCGCTATAATAGGCCATTTTCAGAGCCTGGGGGGTCTTGGGGAGCTTCGAGTTGCCAGGAGGGGGAAGTCTCCCTCGTGAAGAGTCGTCGAATTGTCCAGCCGAGCAGTTGACGCTGTTCAACGGCTTTTCGCAGACCACGGTCGGTGGATCGCCCCAGATTGGGGTCGGTGGATCGTCCTTCATTGGATGAAAAGGTCATGATCACAAATCGGTATGAACATCCGCCAGGAGTCACATGGAGGTGGGTAGTGTGGCTCGTCCCATCCAGTGAGTGGATGGTGGATGTGGGGACCCCCTATTCTCCAAGTTCGGCAACCCCGAGCTCTGTGACTCCTGGTGGTATCAAAATCTTCCTTCACATAGGAGAGCAGGAACTCGTGAAGAAGAATTGTGAAACCTCTACTTAACTTGGTCATGGGTATGTCATGGGCTCTTGCGGTTGTGGCACACAAAAATTGGACTTCAAATCGCGCAGTAGTACTTCACAACGGACATAGTCCTTTGCACCCCAAAAGAATTGAACAGTTCCATGTAATGTATGTAGACCCCCAAATAGATAGAAAAGTCGATCCGCACTAAAAATGTTTTGGAAACCGTTTCTATATAATATATATATATATTCTATATATGTGGGGATCACCATACGCATATCATTATCATACACGAATATATATATATATATATATTAGGTACTGTACCCCAAAAAAGAAACACCGGCTGCCTGCTTGAAACTTTTTCGAGCCAAATAGGCGGCTCACTGGGAAGAATCACCTCTACCACAATCCACGTACCTTCGGAGGAGGGGCCTCCCTGCCAACCTTCTGAGTCGTTGGAAGATGTTGAATGTTTTTTTGAGGGATCAATTACAAGCACTCCAGCACCACCCAGTTCGGTTATTCATAGACCTCATCTAACTATGTCCTTTCCTTCCAAGAACCGTCCTTTGGGATCTTTGGGTGGTGCTGACCGGACTCTCCCGGGCTTCATCGGGCGCTCCCGTGCTGACCTGCTTCTGCAGCTTGGAAGAAGCACAGACCCACACAAGTCTTCAAACCAACAAAACCGGCCAACAAAACAGCTCACACACATCCCCCACCAAACCCTGCCCGGCCAAATGATCAGCCTTGAGCATCTAAACCACAACCTGCGCCCCTTCTGCTTCGCCCTTCACTGGTCCAAACACACACGAATCCCCGGCTCGTTTCCTGGCGCTTCAGCCGCGCATCACGAGCAGTTCGTGTCACCTCCTGCGAGATGAACCCAACGATCCTCGTCGTAGGAGTCCAGCGTGTTTCGCAGGAGTGACACATCTCACCATGGATCAAGAGCCACTGGGTGTGTATTTGGCTATGCACAGACTCGACCCTGGACCCTCATTATTCATATGGGATTGGACCCGAATCCGAACTGGTCAGGGGTCTGGGGTTTCTCACCCATCCCTAGGTTTTGGGACCAAGAGTCGGGCTGTTTTCACGGAGCGTCTGGGTGGGCCATGGCACCGCGGGACGGACCGGTTCACCACCGAAAAATGAACAGAACCGACTCCGGAAATCCACCCAGCTCCAGGTTTGGACCCACAGCCATCGACCAATACGGAGACCCCCGAAGCAATGGATAGACTGGTCGATTTTTGGCCGGGGGTCTTTTGGAACTCTCCCTATTCCAATACACACCCACCCATATAAGAATATCATGCATCCCAAAGAAGAGGAGCACCCCGTGGGTTCTTGCGTTGCTTGTATCACCGTGCACAGCAAAAAGAAGAAATAAACATCACCATGTGACCAAAGGGCATCGGTTGACACACCAGCTTGATCCAAAAAGAAAAGTTTGAAAAAAGAAAACACACTTCTTGAGGAACTGTGTCTTTCTGAAAAGCACTCTGTAGTTGTATTTGACTTGTTCTATATTTGTGTTTGGGGAGGCTTGATTGGCCAATTCCGGGTAGGTGGTGGATTTATGGGTTTGTGTTCCGATTTCGGGGGCACCTATCGCTGGCCGGGAAAATGCAGCATGCCGGGGTCATCCCCAAAGCAGGTCGCAAGTGGGAAACCAAACGTTCAGAAGATCGAGAATAGAATAGACCCTAGGGCTCCTGGCCCATATCCTCAGGTTCGGTGGTTAGACCCCCCTGGCACCCACCCCAACCATCTTCGAAACGGAGGTGGGCCAGGAGGTGTAGGGAGACTTCTGGTCATGGTTCCTTCCTCTTTCTGCTCTTTCTTCCACCCCTTCCCCAACGTGTTTCAACTCCGGCACCGGGGCAGGGTTCGGACGGCCTCTCCCGCCGCCCCGGCTCCTTTTGAGGCTGTCCGACTTCATCGACGAGAATGTCCTGGGCACCCGCACGACTCGCTCGACCGGGCCCAGCGGCCCCCGGGACCGGCGGAAATCGGACCTGCGCACCAGGACGACAGGACGTGAAGACATCGACCCTCAGTGTCCGGCATCGACCGAACGGTGCACCGGAGCGGTGCGAGAGGAGCCCAAACCGGATGGATCACCATGGTTACCAAGTGAACCAACACAGCGGAACCGGCACCTGAAGGCGGTGAACCGGCACCCCCCCTACGGTTTTGGTCTACGCCGTGAAGCTAGTGAACCCATATGAACCCAACAACATGTTTTTTCCTATCAAAGTTGATGTTAGTGGGGGTCTATAGGGATTCTAAGGTCATATTTAATTTGGTTGACCATTTTGCACGTGGGTAACAAAAGTAACACGTGTTGTTGAGCTGTGTGGGGGGGGGAAAAGTACAGATGTTCGAAGACATCTATCAACCCATCCCCCCTTCAGAAGGATGCTATCATCCGAGATCTCTATGGATTTGTCACATGAAAATGTCACCAACATCCCATCACCAAGCTCCATGTGGACGTCAAGCTTCGTTGAAAATTGACCAAACGCCTTCCTTCTTCGTTCTTCTCAGAGATATGTCCCAAAGGCTGCAAGCAAGTTCAGTATGCTTTGAATACAGAACACTTAAAAACAAAAAACCGCCTGACGCAGCAACATGCAAGCAAAGCTCTCCGGATCCCCCTGCGCCCGAGAAGGTCAGATCTCCTGAAGGAAGGCTTCGACGGAGCCCAAGTGCTCGTTGCTCTTGGAGCCTCCCCACGAGAAACGCGACACGCACAACGCCCACGCGATACACGTCATGTGACAATCCCCAGGCGATACACGCCAAGTGTGGCATCATCAAGCTACAAAAAAATAACTATTGACAGTTGGCGTTCAAAATCTTTTGATCAGTCCAGCAAACAAATTCACCAATGACACTGCCAAAGGGGCTCGTATCCACAGGTTTGTTTCCTGGTGCAGTCGGGAGGTCAAAGGGCTAAGTAGCGATGGCACGGAAAGTGTCACATGTTGTAAGAACTGCTCCAGAAGCCAAGTGCATCCCTTTGTCAGAAGAGTCTAAAGCAGCAGCAGAAACATTAAGGATGCGAAATGTCAACAAAATGTCAGCAACCGATGAAGCACATGATGCGATGTCACATATGACCTTCATATAGTACTGTATCACTTGCTGGAAACCCGAGTTCCATGGGAATTCCCCACCAGACGGAAGCCGGGATCACCACCTCCCCCTCCTGGGCGCCCCGGGCCGATGGTCCAAAGGTCGATGAAGACCGGCCCTTTCCGCTCCAGCTCCTCCGTCGGATGGCGCGGCGGAGCGGCCGCATGAGAGATCATCGGGCGGCCGCATTCGCAGCGCAGCGCTTCAACTGGGGGGTTGGAGCTTTGGATTTCAGCCACAAGGGTGGTGCCGGATGACTCGTCGAACTGGACTTCGATTCTGACTGGTGCGAGTGCTTAGCAGGGTGGCTGAGGGTGGCTGGATCCAGAATCTCTATTGGGGGCGAAACTTCCCTTCTTCCCTACGAATCGCACCAGTCAGTCTAGGGGGTGTGCATGTCTTTAAATCAGTGAGATCCCCTTTCTCGCCTTGGAGCCGATCGCCTGGGAGGTCTACTGGTTTTCTTTTCTTCCCGGAGGGTGGTTGCCTGGGGTGGTCTCTACATCCATGTTTGCAGGTTGCAACCAGCATGAACTTACTGTGATGCTTCGTGCCGTTTCGAAGCATTGCTCTGGGCTGACGGATGTTACACTGCAAAACCAGGTCTACCGTTTGTGTAATGGTCGAATGGTCGAACGGAAGGCTGTCGGACGGAACGGATGTGGCTTGCGTCTCCGAACAAAGACCGCATCGAATAGAATAGGAAGCCCACCAGGTCCTCCCAGGTCGCTTCGTTGTCATCCTGCCGCTCGTTTTTACCTGACGTAGACGAAAGCCAGCCAGCCATGATCAGCCATGCAAGCGTACAGCGTACGTCAAAAAGATCAGCAGCTGCAGTTTTAGAGCTCCAAACCGTTCAATCAACTTGAGTTGCTCCAAGATGACGGGTGGTTCACGTCGTATCTAAAATCTAAATGGTTCCAAATCAATGTTGAATAGACGTTCAGTTGGGTCTTGGCCCAAATCTCAACACCCGCCGCATCGCCGAAGCTGAGCAGCTGAACAAACACATCATATCTTGTGATGCATCCCCCCGTCCGATGCACCACGGGATGGTGCAGCCTTCGCTGCTCTCTTCGCACTTCGCGTCCACGTCACGCCCCACCTCCCGGAGTCCGAGCCTTGTTCGACCCCCCGTACCGTATGACGTCGTACCGACGTCGTCGTGCGACGGCATGCACGCGCGAGGGACGACTCGGACGACGAGAGATTGGTCACCGCGGCACTGCTGGTCTTCGCCAAGGACAACTCGAAGACCAAGTCATTGTTGAAGCTGGGCGACACATCGTCCTGGCACCCGGACGCCCCATCGAACCATGGGGCGTCCCCTGCGCGTCCTGCCGACTGCGCGTCCTGGTCGTGGGTGGGTGGAGACCGTGTTCGGAGCAAAAGGGAAGCTTCGCATGGAGGAGTTCCGAAAACACCTGGGGAGAGATATTAAGATGATTACCTGGACCATCCAAGGGGTGCCCAATGGAAGCCTATAGGTAGTGTGGGGTAGTCCACTGCTTGGATGGTCCTGGTATAAGATTCCCATTAAGATTCCTGTAGTTAGTACTGTTTCCTAGATAAATCTTGGAAGATGCAATGACAAAGATCTGGCCATGGCTGTAAGACCCCACACGTGCGATTTTGCGTGTTGGTTTTTGATGGTATATTAGGTTTCTCTCCGAGGGCAGAAGGAGTGAAACAGACAAAGGAGATACTCTCCCTGGAACTAACATGGAAGTGGAAAACACCCTGTTTGTAGAGGAAAATGGTCTTCCAAGAATCCATGCCAGCCACTTCCATGTGAGTTCCAGGGAATGTATATTATATAGATTATATGATACCAGCTGCTTCCGTTCGGGGTTACCAATGGACAGCCCTACACTGCTTATATAGGTCACCAGTGGACACCCAGACAGGAAGCGCGATATATATATATATATATACCCTGGACGTCAAAGACCATTTTAAAAATGGTTGATCTCGTTTTGTAGTGTAAAACCCGTAAAACAAAGGTGGTTCGGGATTGCTATGAAAACAATGGTGCTTCGACTTCGGCCCGGTATTCTCTACAGCTCCATGCTTTAGCCGTTGAGGTCCCGGGTCCGCACCGACCCCTTGAAGGACCGTCGCAGGAACCAAAGCATCCGGAAGGGGTCTGTGAAAGACCTCCAACGCGTGGGAACCAAAGCATCCGGAACCAAAAAACAGCAATGAAGGATTGAATAAATATGATACATAAGTCCTTGCGGGCCCAGCCACCATCCCTGGCCCAGTTCAACTGCCATGCCAACCCCCAACCGGCCCGGGACCGCCCCAGACCCTGCCTGGCAGATCCGAGTGCGCTTCGCCACACCGTCGAAGGTCACCTGGACAGCACCGTTCTTCGCTTACGGAGCGAGCGGCGGCCGCAGTCGAGCGAGCCAGGTCGAGCGAACGCCCAGAGGGTCGGATCCGATGGACGAACGTCGGCGGGGGCCCGGGCCATGCAGATGTGAAGTACTGGTGGGATCAAAGCTGAACCCTGCTAGCTGAACCCTGCTTCCCCTTTTTTGTGGAGCACCGCCCAGATTTTCTGGTGTCTAGTTTTGGACGGAAACAAACATACCTGGTCCTTTGGGGTCGACATAGGTCGACCACCCATGACCACGGGGGGGTGGTTGAAGTAGAACATCTGCAGACGAATTGAGTTTGGAGGAGTGGGACCCCAACGGTGGAGAGTCGCGACACGACCCACGCGACCTCCATGCGACCTCCATGCGGGGAGTGCAGGTGCGGGCGGTGGGCTGGAATGCTGTGGAGACATGGAAGGAACCCAAATCCTTGTGGGCAGAGGAGTCTGGGTCTGAATAGTTTTAAGGTTTTGAGAGACCCCCGGGAGTCAGGGCTATTGAGCGCCTGGGCAAACACATCGCTTGATGCTGGGAAACGTGGAGGTGGACAGAAGGATTTGGCACCAGTTCGACCCCCACCGTTTCCCCAAGCACTTTGGCCGTCGGATTTCTGACTGGTGCGTCTCGCAGGGAATGAGGGTGGCTGGATCCAATAGAATATCTATTCCAGCACCCTCCAACAGGTGCTTCCTGGTGACAACAGGTGCCCAGAAACCACCTGTTAGGGTCTCTAAACAGCCTGTTGGAGGGTCCTGGTTGGGGGCGAAACTTCCCTTATTCCCTACAAGTCGCACCAGTCAGACTTGGAGGCTGGTCTCGATTTCAGAGTGCCACCGACCCACCCGGCAGGCATTCGCTTCTTTCCATCGGGGTGGCCACGATGCCAGGCCGCGGCCGTCAAAGACCATTTAGAAAGACTGCTTTGACCTGGTACTTTGATGTATTTTTGTAGTGTCAAATCCTTAGTGGATTCAAGTACAGACCATTTACATCAATTGGGCCAGGAAGCCTAGGGTACAGTGACCTCCCGGAGGAGAGGGTTCTCTCCTGCATTTGCGTCATCAAGCTGGACGACGATTTCTATCACCACCTGGCGCCACCTGGCGCCAGCTCCTCGTAGCTTGACGCCAGACGTCAGGCGTTCTGTTCATGTACAGCTGGACGCCCCGGCCGCGGTCGGACCGTCGGACGGAGACCATGCGTTCACCTGGCCAGCTTCCGAATTACGTGTTTCTTCCACATCGGCCAAAGCATCCAGGATGCTGGTGGATCATGGATCATCACACAATTTTTAAAAAACAAAAAAAAACGTGCTCACTCACATGGGAATCATTGGACTTTGTTGACTTTCAGAGGGTCTTCGCAGGTGAAGTCAGCAGTTGGCCTTGCCACAGCTGTGGGGTTACTCCTCAAAGACATGGTACCCCGGCCCTGCCGCATGGCATGGGTCAGATCAAATCTCTCCAAACTGACCACCCGAACGTTCCGTCCCACAAAAGAATGGAGGATTTACGCTCAAAGTCGCCCAAATCCTTCCAAAAGAAACCATGCATTCAAATTCTCTCTGGGCTTTTGTGAACTTTCATTCTGCGTGAAAACCACACATGCCACATCATCCACATCAAGCTGTCCGAGATGATCTGTCCGTCACGTGCGGCGTTTCCCCTCTGCGCGGCGTGCCGCCCCTGCGCCGCCTCGACGAAGGTGTCGATCTCGTCCGTGGGCCGCGTGTCCGGCGTCACCACCCGGTCCTCGGGGCTCGCCATCGACCGAGGAAGAATTTGGCGCGGCCGAAGAAGAACCGGCCAGGAGTCACATGTCGCGAGGAAGGGGTGCCGAAGGAACGGAGGAAGGAGTGCAGGTGCTCCTGTACACATCCACTCACTGGATGGGGCTAAGAACCACCCCTTTGTGACTCCAAGTGGCGCGCAGTTCGTTGGGTGTTGGAGGAAGGATCGGGGTGGTCCAGAGGGGTGCCCCTGTCCACGTCACATCCGCCCCATCCGGACGAGCCACACCACCCCCGAGCTCGACATCCACAGCGCAAATTCATGCGCGGAAGACGAGCGGAGCGTGTCTCTACGTGGATGTAGGAGGGTTGAAGCCAGGAACCCGAATTGAGTTCCATGTACACAGTGCTCTACCAAAAGGTTCTGTGGGCTATTCCTAGCCACTTCTCGCCACTTCAAACATCCTGCTGCCAATCGAAACATGGTGTGGAAGCTGAGGTGCATCATCCGAGCTCTTACTACCTGTCTTACGGCCTGTTTCCTTTTGTCGTGCATGGGAAACATCGAGTTTTGGGGGGGTTGCGAGTGGGTTTGCCCATAGGCCCATAGCCAGTCAGTCATAGAGAATCACACAAATTGAAGTCTTCCCTTTGCAAGCAAAAAGACAAGTCCACTGGTGTTTCGCCCCAACAAAAACCTCCCCCCAAAACCCCCGGGGTTTTGCCCACACAAAACATGGGTCTCCCCCTCCTGGAGACCTCCTCCTCCCGTTTTGCCAGTCACGCGACGACCTTGATGACCTTCACAAAGAGATATCTCTTCCTCTCGGACCCGCCCGGTGCGGACCGAAGCCGAAGCAGCGGAACCGGGGAGCGAGGGATGAGGTCATCACCGGAGCGAGGATGAGGTCAAACCGAACTGGGATCAAAACCCAATGGGTCGGTCTCTGGATGAACTGTCCACGTTGTCAAATCATATGGCACGAATGTAAGGCATCTCAGGTGAAGGCCGCCATCAAGTGCACATGTTAAACGAATTCTTATATGATCAAAACATGCATGAAGTGGTGTTGGCAAAGAAGGGAGGTTTGAGGCTTCATGACCATACGCCATCACTTTCATGACCATGACAAAACCTAGCATTTCTCTCCCCACTTCCTTCTTGAAACCCCGTGTCCTCAAATCCAACTCGTCTGACACATCATCTGTCCTGAGCTGACATCGGCGGGACACGTAGATCTATCAATCTGAATCAATCTGCAGCTCTGCAATTTGGAATTGGCCCCATCCGTTCCAACAGCTCGTCTGGACGCCTATCATATATATATATATATATTATATTTGCGGAACTTCCCACGACACAGCCGTTCCCGACCGACATGCCCCCGGCATCCAAACAACTGTTATTCATCAACAGTCCTGGTTGACTCCGGAAGGATCCACAGCATGTGAATGAACGTGTTCCACAGGTGAAAAGGCCTAGGGCCTTAGGGCTTGTGATGTGTATCCACAAGTTACCATCTAAATATACCGTCCGAAAAAAACCATGTCGTTCAATCAACCGTCTGTCTGGGTGATCCCTTGCGGGCCTTGTGGGGCACCCCTTTTTGTTGACTGGGGGTTATGGCACCAGGAGACCTTGGTTTTTCCCACCCCAAATGAACCTACACTACCTACCCGGGAGGTCAATGCCATGACCCACAGCCACATGCCGTCTGTCTGTCTTCTCGCTTCTAACGCACGCCCGGTGGCTGCTGATAGCGTGGGCGATGATCCACAGCCACGTGGCCCTGCCGGATGTGGCCGTCAGAACCGATGATGCAGAGGGTGAAGTGCTAGCAAGGACCTGCTGGTCCCTGCTGGTCCCGTCCAGTGAAAGACAAGTTTGGGTTGTATGATAATTAATAACAAGTGTTTAAAAGATTAGAATAAGAAATCTTCCATGAAATTCCCATGGTCGGTCCGGGTTCCACATTCTATAGCAATAAAATGTTGGAGCCCACCTTTCTTGCTCTATAGAATGGATTACCCAGCTAACAGGATGGACACCAGATCACTATAGAATCGGGAGCCCAGACCGACCAAAACCAACCAAAATGACACCTTTGTACGCCTATAACCTAAAATAGACCCAACCATAATTTGGTTTACCCCACCCTCATTCCAGACCCTCATTGGGTCAAGATAAACGCTCAAGGGCACGCATTTCAAAAAAGAAACATGTTATAAGGGGTCATGTTTGCAAGGAAATGAAGGTTTCATAAAAACAACGCTTGAAACAGCGCTTGATCTGAGACTATAGGAAGATTGCCTTTCCCTTTCCATAGAATGGATAGGAGTCCACCCAAAAAGGGCTGTCCATAAATTGAGTGCCCCTCCACTTTTGGAGTCTCTGAAACAGAGTCATGTTGTTCGTAGAACCGTTTTATGCAGGAGCCTGGGGGGACAGATTTTATGGATTAAGTTTTTACAGGGATTATAAGAATATCAATAATGTCTTCCGACAAAACAAAAGGATATGTAAATGTAACTTTAAAAAATAGACAAATTCGCGTGAAAAGAAATTAGCTTGGTGGTGGAACCCACCCCACTATCGCTTCTCTTTGAATCGAGCAGTGTGCATTCACATGGTCGAACGAAACGTCTCCAGTCAACTCCAGTAGAAGTGCGCAAAACCCATCGAAGATCCTCTCCCTAGGGATCCAAGTACCTTGTCAGAAGGTGATTGGAAACTGTTTATGTAGGTTTGGAGGGTCCAGTCGTACCTTCTGAGGACGTACGACTGGATCCCTAGGGTCTTGGGAGGTGTTGAGTCACCCACGAACGACGCGAATCGTTCACGACGTGGTCCCCAGGACGGGCGCCTGCAGCAAGCCGCAGCGTTGCCGGTGCACCTTGCCGCCCTCCTGCAAGGCGACGTCCACGCCGCTGAAGCATTTCACAAGAACGACGAGAGAAATACCAGGAGTCACAGAGCTCGGAGCGGCTTTTAGTCCCATCCAATGAATCCCAGACACGACCCACGGGACTGCCATATATGCCGCCCCAGACGACGACCCCCCTGGCACGCACCACCCCTGGCCGTTTCGAAGGCAGTCCCAACCGGCAGTCCCGAGTCGGAATGGGAAAATGGATGTGACAGGGGCCCCCCCGAAAGCCGTCTCCGTTCCGCCACCGGCACCGCCCGACATGGAACTGGTGCAGTTGGACGAGGCTGCGTCGTCTCCGTTCTTCGTCCGCAGTTGAAGCCAGTGGTCACTCCGCGGCAGACGGCGGTAGGACTAGGATAGAGCCCCTTAAAGCGATGGTAGACCCCAAACGGAAAGTGTCAAAGGGCTGCGTGAAACTGTAACTGTACACTCTCTGATGCATTCTGATGTTACACATCTAGGTTGTGGTCTACCTTGTCACTTCTCAGGGTCTTTCTTTGCCAGGGTCGACCTGGCAGTCCACCTCGCCCAACCGACTCCGGGATATTGGGGGGGCTGAGACGGCCCGGCTGAAGCAAAGGATAGTCCTGAACTCAGGTCACCGTCCAAGACCATTCTTGATAAATAGTCTCTGACTCTCAGGGTATGGTGGTATGGGAAAGAAATCACTGGTATCACCAGGACCCTCCCAGTGACCAGCTAGGATCCCTCCCCAGCGGGTCGGTCACCGACATGGACCATCCTCAAGTTCGGTCAGGGTGGTCCCACATGTCCAGTGTGCACAATGAGAGGTATGAGCCGCTCCATGCAAGACTCTTTGTTGCGAACCCAAATCGAAACATCTTGAAGTGAAGCAAACACACATGTCTGTAGTGAAAGGATTCCCCATCTCCGACTTACTGCCGGGTCACTTATGATGGGTTCACTTTTCTGTACATCATCCCCGCTCATCAAAGAACCTCCTCCTCAATCCCACGTCACCCGCGCTTGAATCCAAGCACCCAAGCAGCACCAAGTAGCACTGCCGGCAGATGAGGATCAGTTCGTTAGGTGTTCTTGGTGAGTGCCCCTCACATTCCCTTTAATGTAGGGTCTTGATTAATAACCTCCCCAATTGAAAAACCTTCATCAAGAGTCTATAGTCTATATACATCATAAGGATCTCAAGCAAAAAGCTCCAACTCCAACCTCCCACCGCAAAAAGAATCTCCTCGAGGCCATAAAACCAGGGCGCCGGTCGCAAGGTCGCCTGACGTGGAGGATGTGGCTGAGGAGGACGAGTTCACAGTAGCTCAGTTGGAACTTGGGAGAATATGTTGTTTTGTTGTTGTTCTTTTGGAAGGGAGATCCTACCCTTCGTTCCGTTTGATCTTCAAAGTCATTCAGATGCTTCAAGCCTCTTCAAGCAACCCTGAAGCCCTGAAGCCTTTCAAAAGGCGATGCTTTTTGGAAGTCATAGAAGTCCATGCGGACGATCTGTCATCACACCGCTCCTTCACTCGTAGCGTCCACACCCCCAGGCGCAACGAGGGCGAGCGACGAGCGACGAGCGACGAGACCCAGCTGACGGAAGTTGTAAGCCACTCCGGCAAAGCCACTCGGCTTCCTGGCCCATCATTGATTTTTATGGATCGAATCCCGAACCACCGTGAGTTTACCAAGGATTTTACACCAAATAACCAGGTCAACCCTTGTGTACAAATGGTCGAACGGAAGGCTAGGGGCGGCGGTTTTACCGGCCAGCCTTTCCGTTCGACCCAGTGGCAAACATGGCTGAGCTGGTGTTTCTGGTTCAAAATGCTGTAAAAGAGGCGGCTTTTCGGAGATACACCCATTCACGGTGGTTGGAATCCGTTGGAATCTGGCAAGCGAAGCGGACCCAAGCTCCTCTGTGGGTCCTCCAGTTGATGAGAAGAATCCTGCAGACACATGACTCAGTCCAAGAAATCTGTGAGCAAGCCCAGCTGGTCTGTAGCGAAAGGAACACCAGCTTGGAAAGACTCTACCAACCTCCAGGGGCCCACACAAACCATCAAAAACCGGGGTTTTCCCTAGCAAAAAACCTGTGTTTGATATAAGAAAACCTTGGTGTTTGATGGTATTTTGAGGGCGGCTTACCCATCCAAATCGGCTCCCCACACACACCCCACTCTTCGCCGCGCTTCGCCGCTCCGCTTCGTAGCTCGGCCTTCACCTCGCCGTGTTCCAGCACGCCCCTCAAGGGGATCTCGGCATTGGCCAAGATCACATGGTACCGGCTGCCACCTGTGTTTCTTGGGCACCGTGGCCACGAGTGGGCCAGCTTGGTTCTGGACAGGCACACGCCCGTAGAGATCCTAAAGGCAAATTGGACATGGAAATGAGTCGGAGAAAGACATGATCCATCAAAATCCTATATGCTTATTGGTGATAAGGCCTACCTGGAACCCCCAAACAACCAGAAAGAAATGGTTGTTCCAATATGGCAAGTATGATCCTTTACGTAGGAAATGGCTGGGACTGGGGAAACATCAATTTCTTTCTGGTTGTTTCGGTTTCCAGGTACAAGCCTATAATCCACTTAGTAGGATTCAGAACCCATCCGTGGAGGGTTTTGGGTGGTTTGTGTCGTAGGATTTGACCGTGGGTGGACCTATTGCTGGCCATCCCGGAGGAAACCGTGGACGATGTCAAAATCAATCGAAAACTGGTCATAGCTCTTGAAAGATTCCATCGCTTGACCCCCACTCCGGTATGACTTACACCCGAACTAACTAACCCCTCATATGCACAAAAAAAATCATCCAATAGCTTTAATAGCTTTGCTACACACAAAGCCACCCAAACATCTGTCCCTCACCTCACAACCACGACCACACCGACCGCTCATCCATGATCATCGGCTTTTTTTCACCACCACACCTGACCCGGGGCGGATCTCCTGGCGCCTGGGCGTCCACCTCCCAACTGCGTCACCAACTCTTGCAGCTCACGGGGCTTCTCGAAGCTCATCAAGTTCACCTGCCGACGCACGCGAACGCCCAGACCGCCGCCGATCGCGCGACGCGTAGAACGCATCGGAGCCCCCGGAGCCCGAGGCGGCGTTCGGAACAAGCACGCGCGCGTGAGGAACGAGGAGATCCGAGGGGTCACGACAGGGATGACGTGTCTGCAGTTCCAGTCGTTGGCGAACGAACGCCCCGGGGCCGCGGGAGGGAGAAGGCGATGCTTGTTGGTGCCGATGACAGAATGAAGCTGCTCGAATGACAGAGGGTGTGTTGACGCGGAGGGGTAGCCATCGACGTTGATCCCCGAAAGTTCTCCCTGGTCTTCGTTCTACGAAAGTATAGGCCTTCATCTCAAGGCACCAAGCCAACAACGTGCACCAGGAGTCACAAAGGGGTTCCTATTGGAGGATAGGGGTGCCCATTATCCACTCACTTAAGGGCTAATAACCACTCCTTTGTGACTCCAAGCAAATCACTGTTAGGGCCAAATCATCCGACCCTTCACATTCCACCCCACGGACCGAGTCCCGTCCGCGTCTCGCGGCTTCGTCGCCGTTGTCACCGGTCTTGCGGTTCGCGCGCCTCCAGGGAGGCGTTGCCGAGATCGGAGCACGTGCCACGGAAGTAGCCGCGGAACTTCTTCCGCGTCTCAGTTTGGGAAGGAACGAAGGGCCCCGGCCCTTTCTACACGAATCAACTTCGGGGAGCCCAGCCGGTGAGCCTTGAGAAGCGGGCAGGCGGTTGGATCCTATTCGTCCCCCCAAAAGAGGAGACCCCCTAGGTATCCCTATAGGTCTTCCATGTTGCACAGGATGTAGTCCTCTCTAACCTCATCATCTCAGATGACTCATGGAAGGTGGATGGCAGGTGGATGAGATGGGAAATCTCATGGAAGAGACGGGCAGGTGGATGAGACGGGCATGGGCCCTTTCAAATGACGATGTTCACTCCGAAGACCTAAGTGACTCCCTATAGAGGTAGACCGCTGACGGACTGGTGCAGTCATATTTCAGTCGCGTCCCATGTTGCCATGTGGACAGATGAGCGTCCACGACTAAACCATACGTCCACCAGCAACATGGGGGGGGCCCGTATACCAGGACCGACACCAAGAGGTGTCGGACTAAATTGCCTCGTAACGAGGTGATTCGAGGTTGCCAAAAAGCACCGGGCTTGGAAGGTCCTCGTACTTGTGCCATTTCTCACCTCCAAACCACGGGTACGTACCGACTGAATGCTTCACTTCCCCCCCCTCACCATCCATCGCGAACGGAGCACCGGTCGCCCTGACCGGTCGGATCTCGCGCCAGTCGACCGGTCGCCCAGCTCGGTCGAAAAACACTCCGGTCGCCCAACAAAAAGCACGCCGGTTTCACAGCTGCGGGAAAAACCCCACATGTGGGTTGACATGACAACCCCCCACGTCGCGACAAAGGGTTCCTCGCAGCGTTACGTCTGCGTGTGGTCACCCCCGTTCTGCGTGGAACGCCACCGTTCTGAACCCGCCGGTGCCGGTTCCGGCTCTTCCATCGGTGTCCACCGCTTCGCTTTCCATCGAGTCACCCAGCTGTCCCATAGGACACCGCCACCGTTGTTGCCGCCTCGGGACCAGGGGTCTGGAGGGGCCCGGGTGTTCCTCGACGGAGCTTTCAGCACTAGCAATCCCTTGGAGGTCCAGGTGCATCTGGAGCCATCCACTCAACACAACTAGGGACTAAACACTACTCCTATCTGTGACTCCTGGCAGTGCTTTTGGAAGCATGTGTTCCTGTTTTCCTCGCGAATAACTTGACTTGTAGGTCTCTTTTAGGTGGCGCTGAGAAACAAGAAGGCTATCTATAGGGCTTCTTTTTGAAGCTAAGGGACCCAAGATCAGCATTCCCAAGATCAGCTTGCTCCTTTTCTAGACCCAACCCAAGCGCCAATCACTCGAAATCGAGAGCATCCTTCCACCACTCACAGTCCAAGTTGCTCTTGTTGGAGACCAAATAGCAACTCCGCGTGCCATGTGCCCGCAACGCCGGCGTTTGGACATGGATCCTCAGCCCCGCCCGGAACGACACCACAGGTGTTTTCGAATCAGGGGATCAAGGGGCCATGGGTAGAACTGAGTTTTACATCGTTTACCCTGGAGTGCACAAACCTGAATTGATCCTTTCCTTTCGGCACAGAACACCGTCGTGAAGTGAAAAACGAATCATCCAGGTTACTTTGCTTTTGTTGGATGTTTATTTCCGTATACCGTATACCCATCTTGGAGCCTCTCCTTTGTAAAACATGTCCAGGTTTCTGTTGTTGTTTAATTGGTCCAACCGTCCATCTGCTTGAGGAATACCCTGCTTGATCTGCTGTGAGGAAGATTGGCGGTATAACCCTGAAAGGTCACGAACTTGTCCGTTACTCCATTACTCCGCAAAAACCTAAGTCACTGGATTTCGTCTGATAGGTCTATATAATATGTGGACGATGAGCAGGCCATAACATGATGAGCCAAAGACTTCCATTGTTGGCAGTAGATACGGCATCCGTTAAAGTGCGTAGAAATCATTGAACCGTCCCCATGTAAAGGTAAAAAACAATCCAATTGATTTGGAAAAACCAGAAACTGTGGCAAGGAGACTTACCCCAAACTCGACCAAACCTGGACAATTGATCGTGGAACACTGGGAACGTTGAAGTCCATCCTTGTGGGAAGGTTTTTCTGGATCCACTGAGCACGAGGGGTCCTCAAAACGATGGTGAGGAGAATAGAAGTTCATCTTGGCGACACATGGAATTCTGCCCTTGCAAATAAAGCCGGGCAAGAAACCCGAACCCTCCGAACGACGAGGACCGAACCCAACCATTTGACACCATGACGCAGCCAATGCGTTTGGTTTGGCATCAGTTCTTAGTGACCTTATGGCCACGGACCAACCACAATCATTGAACCCATACTCCAAAATCACACTTGGGGGTAGGCAACCACCATGTAGCGAGTTCAACCGTCACAAGGTAGGTCAGTGCCAATTCCTCACAGCGACTCGGCCATCCCACCTCCCAAACCCCAACCAGTTCGAAAAGGCTCGTCTGATGAATCGATTCATCCGAAGCCAGCGACAGAGTCTGGGCGGCGGCGGCCGAGCCCGGTGGAGTCGCAGCCGAATTTCGGAGTCTCGGCCGGCTTGGATCAGACGTGTGTGAACGGCAGCTGCATATAGACCCCCCAAATGGATAGAAAAGTAGATCCGCTTCTATCTATTTGGGACCCGGGACCACCTCAAAAAATCTGTGGATCTCACTGGTCACATGCTGGATCCTGCTAGGACACCGTTCTTCTTTGGCCGCCACTACTCACTACACAGGCAGGGTTCTCTAGTCACCCAGCAACCCCCGCAAGCGCGCAGGACATAGCGCGATGATTGGCCGGACCTTACAAGCTCCAAGCCGGGCTCTCAACCGTGCGCTTCGTGGAGCTTGGAAAGTGCAAGCGCTGCACGCGTGCGTGAAGCTGACACAGCTGGCGCGTTGAAAGCTGCTCGAGGCTCAGGGTCAATACCTGTCACTACCGGCAGCTGCACTTAAGTGAGACCAGCTCTGAAGCTATGGGCATGGTGTGTCAAAAATGTAGATTGAAGTGGTTTGTTCTTTTTCGACTAAAAAGTAATACCTTTACCAGGTTTATACTAAGTAGATCGTGAATGGATGTGAATGGTCCTTTGTACACATAGCATCTGGGCAATATCTGCAACGTCCTTCCAGGTTGAGGAAAGCTGAGCGAAGCAAGCACCTACGAGCACGAACCCTGCCAAAAAAAAAATGAGCACACATATGAGAGCACAGTCGCCGACCTTGGGCTGATGCCGTTATGTCAGGAATGGTTTGAAAGGCATCGAAAGACTTACCTATGGACCCCCATCTGAAGGACATCTTGTCTACTCTGAAACCACTGTACCAAATCTATCAGCCCTTAGAGTCCGCTTGATACAAGCAGACCCGGTAGTAAGGTGTCGTCTTTCTGTGCTGTTCTCTGATGCAAAGCAAAGGCCATTCTTCTGATGTGGTGTGAGAGCTTCTCCATGAACCTCTCCCTGCTCGCCATCTCCCCACCCATGCCAAACTGGAGATGTCCTCTACACCTGGAAAGTGTCCTAGCATCTCATGGACGGGAGGCTTAAACAAGCGTGGATGGCCATCTGGTTGCATGGATTTCCAGGTGACCTTGCCATTCACCGATCGGGCAAAAGGAAAAGGATGGAAAAGGGGAATTCCGTTCATGGTTTTGTGATGGTTTTGTGATGGTTGTGACACACAGACCGAACTTCTTCGGACGTCTTCGTGGGCGATCCGGGGGCGATCCCGCGTCTGGCGGTGGCGATGAGAGTGGCGAGGAGTCTTGAGGTGTTGGGTCGGTTGGGTCGCTGAGATGGAGAAGAGCATCTCTTCCCTGAACCCACCAGAAACCCAAATCTCGGCACCCGCCGGCAGCGAACGGGCGGCGGAAGGTGGAAAAAACCGGTGGAGGAGGTTGATCTATCTTGGCATTTGCGGCTCCCAGGATGAGAAGAAAGAATCTTCCAGACGCTCCAAACAGCTCTTGGTCCCTCAAAACCCTAGGGATCCTAGATATTTGAGGGTCCGGACCCCTCCAGAGGATTCGGGTACGGCAAAGACTGAACGGAGGGTCCAGCGTCGCGTCTGGGTAGAAGGGGATTCACTCATAGGAAACCTACACCCGATCCGTCAGAAATAACTGACACTGAAACAGACCTTGGCCCCAACCTTTTGAGGTTGGAGGTTGTCAGGTTATTCTCCGAAGAGCAAAACAACCAAACCATTGGTTGATTGCCGTTGCATCTGATCGTGTTCCATCTGTGCTTGGTTCAACAAAAAGGCCCTTGAATTGGAGAGAGAGAGAGAGAGAGTAGTGGCTAAAACGCATCGATCAACTTGATGGACTAGTATACTATCGAGTCTTTATTGAATGTAATTCAGACCCCCCCAAATAGATAGAAGTTCGTAGATTTGGACGAAGAATGTGTTGGGACACGTTGGGGGACCCCGATCATACCATGCATGAGAAGCCTATGTGTCCACATCCCTCCGATCCCCAGAGAGACCGAGAACGAGCCCGCGCGGCGGTGGTCGTGTGGACGACGCGACGGTCGGAAGCTGCGATGGACCACGAGGAGGTTCTGGGATTACGAGGAGTCTGGAGGTTCTTGGACTCCCAAAAGGTCCAAGACGTAACAACTTTAGAACAGGTCGCTCAAGCCCAACGCAGCTTTTCTACGACTGCAGCAAGGTATTAAATGCCTAGCTACTGAGTCTGACATCAAAACCCGACATCTCCAGAGGGTCGAACTGGACATCGCGAGAGTGACGTCACAGGCGGCAACCCGAATGGTACACTTGTTGGAATCCCTTAGGGATCCAGTCGTACCTTCTCAGAAGGTGCTTGGAGACCATTTATGTAGGCTTGGAGGGCCCAAGTAACTATCTCCAACCACCTGAGAAGGTGGCAGTGGATCCCAAACTCAAATCGTTGTCGTGGGATGGCACCCCGGAGGGACTGGTCTTCGGATGGATTTCATGGTCCGACCTCGCCCGAGGGGTTCAGGTCGCGGTCGTTCAGGTCGCAGTGTGGTCCGTCGTCGACCGGGTCTACCGATGGATGGTGCCATGTCTACTCCCCATCCACCAGAAGCAGGAAGGCCACGCATGACCCCGTCCCCAGGAAAAATGAAAATAAGACATCCGAGATCTCCCCTGGTGATCTGATGGAAGAACTTCTGAGCAGTGAAAACAGCCTGTAAAGTAAAGATGGTCATGAGCACGACGTATTTGCTAAGACTTTGTGCAAACGTATGTGCTAGATTGTGCTAGTACAGAATCTCGTTGTTCAAGTCTAGCTCCCAATCCACATGCCGGGTTTTAGCAAAGCACATCGATTAAAGAAAAGAATAACTCTTTTGTGTTCATTCAAGATGGACCAGGCGGGTACCATCAAGCTTTCAGATCTCTCACTGTTTAGCAGCGAACAAGTGGGACCATGGACCATCAATTTCCCCAGGTTGGAGGCCATCGCTAGTAGGTTGGAGGCCATCGCTACTGGGTTGGAGGCCATCGCTATCAGAAACAAAGACAAGTGAAACGGAAGAAAGGTCCCAAGGTCCCCCACACCTTCCTTCGGTCCAGGCCACTCGTGGCAGGGCTTGCGTCTGCTTGGCTCCCGTCTGCCGAGTACTCCGCCCCAGGGTGCCCCGGGCTCCACCCTCAGTCGGGTCTCTTCATCCGCCAGCTACCCGAATGGACGATTTGACCCAGACACTCCATGGATTGCACCTACCAATTGGTAGTGTCCTGGCTGAACCACGCAGGTTCGGGTGTTGACCTTCATTGGGGTGGTTTGGGGCCGGTCTACCCATGAGCAAAAACCAGTCGGAGACGGTCTAGCTAGCGCTAGCTCGTCTCAATCTCCACCAGGACCACTGTGCACCGGTCTTCCTGCTCCGGTAGAACCCTCCTCGCTGGTCAGAGTTTCAGGCACTTCCTGAACATGACATCCCTGGACCTTCTTGGCCGCCAGGGCCAAGAAGAGGCCACCAGGCCACCAGGCAGTTCTTCTCCAGGGAAACTCACCCCGCGGGGCCACGCGGGGAAGTCGGTGGCAACCGACCCGGGCTCCGTGCCAGGACGGCTGAGTCCAATGCCAGTCGTGGTGGTGGTTGAGAGTTTCTATGGTCGGCTGAGTGTAGATGGGCTGGGTGCAATCCCCCAGTTGGGGTGGTTGTTTCTATGGAACCCCCATCTAAAAGAGATCTTGGGGTGTGTGCCATATACTCTGTGACCAATGTACAGCAGGGGATCTGAGCCAAGAGTTCTGAGGGGGACTCTTTGTCCCATGGAGCTTCCCAGTGATCAAACTGACCAGGATTGGTCATGTAGACTCTTAGATTAATATACACCCCCCCGCATATGAAGAGGATGTTCCACTTCAATTGGGTGCTTGATTCATCAAGAGTCTACATGAAGTCACCTTTGAAAAGACCTGGCACCGGCCCCATGGCACCGGGGACACCCTGGGGTAGACCTCCCAGCTTCGGGTGCCATGATCCGACCCCGCCATCCTTCCGTTGGATCTTAGCCGCTTGGGTCACTGGGAAGGTCTTGGGACGTTTTCCCTTCAAGCCGAAAGAGGATTCGAAGAACTTCTTAGTTTTAATGGTCTGAATCCCAAAGAACCTTTAATGGTCTTATACTAAGGATTTTCACACCACGCCACCAGGTCAACCCTTCTTACTTTAATGGTCTTGGTAGGCCTAAAGAATCCTAAACATCCTAAAAAACCCACCCTGGAATCTCCATCGCAGGTGTCGATGGTCCAACACCCAAAACGCACAGGGTCGAATGGGGCCCGAACCAAGACCCAAATGTAGAGTCTTAGAATCATACAACTCCCCCCGGATGTGGAGGAATAAAGCTCTTCACTACTGAGGGTCGAAAAATCATCAAGCGTCCATGCCAACACCTTCCAACTGGCTTTTGTAGACTGCAGGCTTAGTCGCAGGTGGTGACCTGTTGGAGGGTTATATGATGTGTTGGTGTTGGTGAGGGTATCTTGTTTTTGGAAACGCAGAGACTGATCAGACGGGTACCAGATGGACGGGATGGTGCCTATCTTCAGTGAGCCCGTGAGGCTACAGGGTGAGCGTCACCGTCGCCCGTCGAACAAATGTAGGGCGAAAAACATGGAGCAGCACCCTTAAGTGCGGGGTGGTTTGTCTGGACACCCCGAAAATGACCTGTCAGATGGCAAAAAGAAGAGATGGACCTCCCCAAAATCCGCCGTGCTGACCCACCGGTATGGAAAAACGGTGTCGACACCGTTTGGAGCACCAAGAACAGTTGTGGCTCGGTGGTGGAAAAAGATCTCTTTGAAACAAAAAAAACACAAACACATGAAGGTCATATCAAGGACCCAGTGCCAGGACCTTCAGTACGTGACCTCTTTGGAGTCTGTAAGTGACCTCTTCAGGGACGATTCGTGACCGACCCGCCACTGGGATCTCAAGTTAGGTCACGTACTGATCCTGGTGGGTATCGGCCACAAACAGATCTAAGTGGATCCAAGTGCCAGGAGTCACAAAGGGGTTCCTATTGGAGGTAGTCGGGGTGCCCAGCTACTCCACTCACTGGATGGGGCTAATAACCACTCCTTTGTGACTCCAAGTGGATCATTGTTCGTCCGATCTGTTTCTTCTTCGCACCTCTTCCTGACGGTCTTTGGTGGACCAAGGGATGAACAAAGGAGCACCGGGTCGGTCTTGGGGCGGCACCGCCCGGACCAAAACGGCCACCGGTCCTGGAGACCAGGCACACCCACCGGTCCAAACACCACCGGTAAAACAGTCGGCGTGGCACCCAGTCCACTCCGAACCGGACCCAAGTGGCGCCCGTGAGTTCTTCGTCCTCCTCCTCGATGTTGTCCCTGCGAAGAGGGCAACGGAGCCCTCTTAACGCGAAACCGGCGAGGCCGCGCGTTCGGCGAATCGAAACCGGACTCGGCAACTACCGTCTTCCGGAAGATTCAACTGCAGGGTGACGATTGGAAAAGGCGTTGTGGAGTGTTGCAATGGAAGGAAACGGACAAAAAAGGTAAAATCACCCTAGAAGTCCAAAGACTATACTTTTCGATAGTGAAGTAAAGGAAAATCCCTTTCAGGTACCCTAAAAACCATTCTTTTTATAGTCTTTGACTCCCAGGGATCATGTAAAATCATCAACCAAACGATGCTCTCCGAGAACCGAAGCCCTCTTGCCATGTCGCGGCGAAGACGGGCGCGCATGACAGCGAACATCTCTCGGACGGATGTTTGGGCGTGGCGGCGTGGCGTATGAAGAGAACAAAGACTTGTTCTCTAAGAATCCGGGCCAGTTGTTTCAAGGCTTTCAAGGCTCTTAGGTCGGGTGACCCCTGCGAAGAGGTCGGGTCCGAGCCCCTGCCTTACTCGGGAAATCGCCCGTTTTAAGAGTGTGAGGGCAGCTTTGGACCCGAGGGCAGCTTCAGTCTGTACGCTCTGCTTTGGACCAATGTTTAATCCTGGGATGGAGAAAACCGACTGCCCTTCTCGACTGGATCGGAAGATCGGTGCCGCCGGTGCCGGTTCGGAAGATCGGTCATCGAAAAACACTCCATCCGTGTCGGTGGCATGATCAGCTGGCAAAGGAAGACCTCATCTTCCGGTGTTTTCTCCAGACATCCAGAAGGTCTTTGGGTACATGGAATGGGGAATAGACTGAGATCTGGATATAGATGGTCTATTTATACAGTAGTCTAGTCTATATCCACCAACCTCGAAAGAAGAAACCCTGGTTCATGGAGCTTTCAGGTCTAAACACGAGCCCACCACACGCCGCCCTTCACCCATCCCCCAGTGCTTCGCCTCAAGCGCTCGAGGAGTCGCTTGCAGGTGGGCACGGCGCTAGCACGCCAGACCTCGGACGTCCGCCACGGATCCGTCGAGATCCGAGATCCGACAAACGTGGCGTCTCATGGTTTGGGGACGAAAAATGGGAGGAGAAACAGCGATTCCGGCGATGTGTTCCAAACTTCTCAAAGACGTTTGAATGGCCACAAAAACAAAAACTACGACGCCCAAGCGCCGAAAAAGGGTACCCCTAAAAGGCCCTAAACCCTTCCAAGTCTAAGAAGAATCCCGAACGCACTCCGCCAGTCCTGCTCCGGACAAATCCCCCGAGTTTCAAAACGGCCGGCAGGTCGGACCATCGATCCATGCCATGCCAAACGACTCGAACGGCGGATCCATGTGGGTTCCCCGGGTCCCACCACGTCCACGTCACCCCGCGAAGGAACACGGGCGATCCTTCACGGGCGGCGGGCGAGGGAAGTCGCGCTGCTATCGTCGCAGATCGATCGTCGCAGACGGAGCGTCAGTTCAAAGGTCCTGAGAAACGTCGTTGATTTTTGGGTTGCACATGGAGCACAGTTTAGCACATCCCGTGTCCAAAACCAAAGGCGACCGGGTTCGGTCGGAAAGCACCGCAACTTGAGTCCAAGGTGAGTGAAATCGTCTTAGTCGACATGGAAAAATATGGTACGTTCACTTCCAGGTGAGTTGAGTTGGAGTCTCCAGGCTTTGTGATCGAGTTGGTCTGCATGACTTATGTCTGCATGAATTCATTAAGCACCAGGGGACCAGGACCTTCAAAGTGACCTAACTTGATATCCCAGGATGAGGTCACTTAGGTCTGTACCAGGTCACTTAGAGACTCCAAAGAGGTCACGTACTGAAGGTCCTGGCAATCAATCTTTCTCGTTGCACCCCAAACTGGTCGGCTGCTGTTCGGATCAATCACAAACTGGAGCCCATCGCTCTTAGGTTGGAGGTCATTGCCCTTTGAACTACCCTTTCGACATGGCCCAGCCAGGCTCCGTTTCCACCTCTTTCGCCATTTAACATCCCCGTTTCTGAGGCGCTCGACCGGCATCGAAAGCTCAAAGTCGTAGATTTCTTGAAAGAACAACCTGGACGGTTCAGCAGAGAGTATCCCTCGGGTCAAAGCCAGGTATCCCGGTATCCCTGAAATCAAAACCAGTGTATTTGTGGGGTCAAAGCCCCGGTGTTTGTGGGGTGCAACTCCTGAATCCTTTTCACCAGTCAGGGACGACTGGAGCCACCATTTTGGACCGTTTTCACTCGGCTCGGCCGATGCTGGAAGAAAGACGACCGTGCTGAGCCACCTCTCCCTCCGGAGTTCCACCTACAACGGCCTAGCAGCCACGAGCGGCCTTCCTGCGATGAACTGAACGAGGTCCCTCCGTCTCACGCCGTTGGCAACGTGACGTGCGGCCCTGGTTTGGCCGAGGGTCCAGGACACCCGGGCCAGGGGTGATACTTTGGCCCCTTGGGGTGTCCCGACGGTGGGTCCGGACGTATGTCTTCATCTGTTCGCCCTCCGGACCTCCTTTCAGGTCACCGGCGACGACGTCCGAAGCCGGCCGCCGTTCGGCCGGACCGATTGGCCCCCCCTAAAGCCCCGTTCTTCCCGGCGTCTTCCGGGCGAGACGCTTGAAGGCGACCTTCACACGGCTCTGCTTCTTTCCGAACTTGTCTACCTGGCGGTCCATGCCCAACTGGGCGAAGCGCTCAGCGCTCGAACAAAGGGCCGGCCATAGGGCGGGTCAGATGAAAAGAACATCGAAGTGTCCAAATTCAGCCATGCACGGTGAAGTTTGTAGACTCTTGATAAATAAAACCCCCATGTGGATCCATTTGGCTTGCAAAACCTCTTCAAATGGGGAGCTTTATTCATCAAAAGTCTACATTGAGAACATCCAAAATACTCTCACAGCAACGTACAGTCGAAGGGATTGGAAGATGATGTTCTTCCTCTTCGACCGGAGAGATGCCTCTCGAGGCCACCGTTGAAGCAAACAGGGAACCTTCCAACGAAGCCTCCCCGGGGGCCGATCAGGCCACGGGGGTGGTGGATTTCAGGGGTATCTATGGGCCTAAGAATCTGCACCCAAACCCAAACTACGGGTTTTGAGGGGCCCCAAACCCCCCAAACGTGATTGTGGGTTCAACCTCGAAGAGGTCGGTCCAACCCAGGCAACCCCGCGGCGTCAGTGGACAATGCACCTTATTCATGTACTGTGTTCCTTAGACGAGTTTCGTCCCTATAACCAGTACATAGTGAAAATCAGAATCAATAAAAAAAGGGCCACCGCTGTTCTTGCAATCCTGGATATGAGAGACCTCTGTCGATCCGGACAAAAGCTCCAGCACACACCGCTGTCGACCTGCCGAACCGCGGCGGATCTTCCAGCCGCGTGCGCGCGCGCGCTCGCGCGCGCGCGCCTTGTTGCACTCCATCTCGTTTTGAATGGGACCCTTGGCGAAGCTCAACAAGGGCTCCTGTCATGACCAACGGCTCTAGGCTGAACACGCGTCTGGTGATGTCAGCTGACAACCTGTCTCTGACCCGAAAGTCTCTGGGACTTCAGCAGAAAGCCGAGCTACCCCCGAAAGAGATCGCCCAACAACCGCAAAGGAAAAGCCAAGAGGAGAAAGCCAACAGCACGCCGGCAGTTCCATCAAGGAGGGGGTCCTTTCACATCAAAACCATTCCCAGACACGAAGAGTCCGGAACTGCCAACGGACTGCCGCCGAACTGCCAGTCCGAATCGGCAGTCCGTTCACTGGCACGTCGCGTCTGGGGATTTCCTTTTGGATCTTTCAGGGGTGTTGTGCCTCCTCCAATGCACTCCTCCAATGGCGAAGGTGTAGTGACGGACCCAGTGACCGGTCACCCACGACGAACAGACCGCCACACCACCACCTCCGTCTGCGCACCGCGCGCCCGCGTTCGCCAAAAGACCAAGACAAACGAACCCTGTGGGCAGATCTGCCCCATCTCTCGCAGCTTCCGCCGGAACCCGCCCCATCTCTCCGCCCCATCTCTCGTCCCGCGCTTCCCCGCGCTGCCGCGTCGGGAAGCGCAGAACGCCTCGCAGAAGCAATCGAACTTGTTGATCCGCCAGCGAGCCCAGTTCCAGATCTCCAGCCCTCAACGTCGCGATGGAGTCGAGACTCCGGGCTCTAAGTGTTCAACCCCAACACGGGCAAGGTGAACCAGGACCTTCAGTACGCGACCTCTGACTGGAGTCTGTTTACGTGACCTCTTTGTTCGGGACGATGGACTGTGACCTCAGCCGCCACGACGGGATGTCAAGGACGGTCACGTACTGAAGCTCCTGCTCCTGTGATCGTCTCCAGCATATATCATCGACCTTTTTTTAGGTCGAAATCGCTTTCAACTTGAAGGTGGCACGGCATCGCGGCGAAGAGGCGGATGTCCGGAACCAACGGAACCAGCCCATGACATGGTGGATGGGATCACCGAATTCATCCATCACATGACATGATGGACGATCCTGCAGCAACGGACGATCCTGCAAGACTACCCAATTGTTGCTTGCAAAATGACTGTGGATGCGAAAATGGTGGTGGATCAGCCATCTGCCATAGGGCCATAGGGTTCTAGAGTGCCGCATGTCGCATGCCGGCGCCGACAGTTCTAAACTGGTTAACTGGTTACAAAATCCCTGTGATTAATCTACCATCTTGAATCTTGATCAACCACGCAACCATCTTGGTATCCCCGAATCTTCCTCTGTTGACAAGGCGCCATTTGCAAACAAGACATGGTCCCCTCTCAACTACTCAGCATATTGAGAAATGAAGGAGTCTGCAGCTCAACCTGCACTGCTATCCCCACCAATCGTGACAGACCGACTGCCCATGAAGAACCGAAAGCAGGGAAAGCACTGTTTTGAGCAAGATGAATTGGACAAGAATTGCTTTTGTTTTGAAACTCTGATCTTGGGACCAACACCCCCCAAAAAAAAGCCGCAAAACCCAAAACCCCATGTTATCCCGAATGTCCCATTGCACGTGGGCAAACCCCCTCAACACCACCACCACCACCACCAACAACAACAACAACAACAGCAGCAACAACAACGCGGTGGTTTGTTCCTTCTCTGCGGTCTCTCTTCGGGCGACTCAGGTTCCGAGGAAGCGACTCAAGTTCTGTCGTTCGAGGTCGAGATAGCTGCCATGCCTGGGACGAGGAGCTGCCCCCTACCCTCCAAGGTGGATCCCTCCCAGGTGTCCTTCGTTCACCCTCCAAGCTGTCCAAGGTGTCCGGGTGTCCTTCGTCCTTGGAAGCACTCCGGGTGTAGCGAACTAGCCGGCTACTCGCTACAGTATCAGGGTGTCGAATCGTGCAGACGCGTCAGAGAGACGTCGACCCCTGGGGCAAGGGAGACCCCTGGGGCCCCAGGTGGTTCTTCCCTCAAGATGGGCGGTTGAAGTAACACCCCGGACCCCTCGCTGAGGTCTTTGAGCAGGGGAGAGCCCTGAAGAGCCCTCTTCAGAGTTCTTCCCTCGCGAACTGCAGGACAGGTTGGAGAAGGAGAGACTGATTCTCTCCCCGAGCATCGTGTACAAGTTCTGTCGAAAATCACTCTCTGCCCATGTGCAGGTGCCAAACGCCTGTCCTTAGATCAGATCTTCTCCTAGTGGGTTTAACCGTTAATTAAACTAGGCGCTTAGTAGCAGATTCCTTCTGAACCAAAGGAGCTAAGGGTCTAGGAGTATATCAAAGGGAGATACAGAAACGGTTCTAATTCTCTTTCACCACCCACGAATTTGCCACTCGTCCATCACCCCCACACTCGATTGTGGATGCCAACTGATCCCCCTCCAGTGGACGTACACAGTAACAGACAAACAAAACCTACCTGGACCATCCTGTTTGGGTGTCCAATGGAGTTCCCGGGTCATAGTGTGGGGTAGTCCAGCTAGGACACTCAGACAGACAGGATGGTCCTGGTATATGATATATGGGTGTGTGTTTTTAGTGGGAAGACCTCTATCCAATGGGTGTTGGTCTATTTCATTCTATTTCCCTTCTTCCAGGGAGTCGAGCTATGAGGTCTCCCTATTTAGATACGCACCCAATGATGTTCAACCCGCCTGTTTCCAAACTCAATCGGAAAGATACAACTCAACACCTCCATCTCTGCCCAAAAATGGACGCTTTGTCGCATCTACTTCAACAATGAGACCCCTCCGCGACAGCCAAGAAATCCTTTCACCAACTCATTTCAGAGGCCCCGGTTTCCCAGGCCGGCCCGTGCCGCTCAGCGTGCCGCAAAGCGGCCACTCGAAGGACACATCAAAGTCACACTCGGTATCTTCGCCATCACCTGGATGTGAGGAAGGACAACACCTCCCTCACCAGTCCCTCATTCTCATCATTGATTCGGTTGGCACCCCGAACATAGAGGAATCTGTTCCTTTGGGTCGTTCGCTTAGGAGAGGGTCCGGTCAAGCTGAGAACTTGAAACCCCAGCGGTTCGCGGCCGCGCTTCGCTTTTGGGCCTGCGGGTCTTGGACCTTTTGGCCCCCGGTCTTTGGTCCCGAGGACGGGGGCCCGGACCGCTTAGGCGCAAGGACGGATGGATTTCACGCCGTGAGTTCAGTCTCAAGGCGTAGGGGAATCGGAATATCTATTGATTTTGATCATGGAGAAGTCTTTTGGGAGCTTCGAGTGTTTGCCTTCACCTAGATCTTCACCTTTTGGGGTGTTCGCCTTCATCTAGTGGTCTAAAATATCAAGTCCTCCCCGAAGATCTGCACCTCATCACCCCAAAGCATCCCCAAACAGTCCACAAGTCTACACCAGTCGCCCCACAGGACCGACCCCGGTCGACCTGGCACGTCGTGCACCACCGGCGTTCGCAGGATCACCCCTTCGTCCCCTCGGAACGGGCCGAGCCGAGGTGGCGGCCGGAAGGCGGGGTGGCGTGGCAACAAAAGCCACGAAAGGGAAAGGGGAACTGTTTCAGTGAAATGGCCACCTTCAGAAATTGGTTGAAAAGGGAATCCATCCAAATGGTTCAATCCTTTTCTGATGTTGAACTGTTCTTGGAAGGCCCGAAGGTCGTGTTCAAAGAAGCACCCTGATTTGGATCTCCCCACCATATTGCCGCTGATGGTAAGGAACATCATCAACTTAAGGAACGTCATCTCGGGGTTCACTCTCCAAATCATACACGTCCCTGATGTACACTCGGCCGGGCTTATCCGCAGATGGCATGGCAGACCAGTCCCAGGCGGTGTTCATGCCGAAAGCAACTCGACCCAGTTGGGAACCCCAGTCCCAACCAGAAAGAAATGGATGTTTCCCCAGTCCCAGCCATTTCCTATGTAAAGGATTTCAATTGCCATATTGGAACAACCGTTTGTTTCTGGTTGGGACTGGGGAAGCCCAGGCAGTTGGGAACGAGTCGTTCCCCATCCACCACGGACGAAGCGGAACGCCTTGCATTTCTCGAGACGAAGAAAGACCATCCACTCGGAAAACCACTTGCTCCGGACGCATGTGTGCTTGGTTTGTTTATCTTCGTTCTCTCTTCCCAGGTTGGAACCGCCGTTGGTTTCTGCATGTCCCCCCCACCAGCAACAACAAACAGGTTCCATGTCGAAAGCAGTTCGCCTCATCCCTTTCGGATGTGCTGGTGGAGCACCCGCGGCCCATCGGAAAGCCCCCCCGGCACTCGCTCGGCGCCAGTTCACGAAACGACATCGGTTTGCGCGACGCCAAGGTAATTGTGAGGTGGAATGATGATCAACTAGATCCGTCGGAGTATGTGACATGCCAACTAGACATGTCAACTAGCACCCGACTTCACAGGTCACCAATTGAAACCTGCTCGGGCCTTTCCCAACCCAGCCATCGGAGACCTGTTGGTCGTCGGGTCCAGCTAGATCTGTCGGAAAAACCATTGAAGGACCTGAGGAACCGGACCCGCCACCCAAATGGAGGGCTCCTTGCCCCCCCGCACGCACCAGGAATTCCTCCTGCCACGTTTGAGCGTTCCGCGCGTTCCGCGCGTGGGTGCGCGTTCAGCGTGCGCGTGGGTGCGCCACAAAAAGCCAAACGAATCCGTTTGCTATCTTTAGATGCATTCCCTGGAACAATCATGGAAGTGGATGGCCAGTTTTCCTCGGGATCAGTCTGGAATCTCCAAGCTTCACTCAAAAAGGTCCTGGAAAGAGAGTATATAATTATACCAGCAGTCACAAAGGGATGGTTTTTAGTCCCTAAGTGAATGGATGTGAATGGATTAATGAGCACCCCTATCCTCCAAGTTCGGCATCCCTTTGTGACTGCTGGTATATGGTTTGGGGGGGATGTTTATGGTGGAAGAGCCTTGAGTCATTGAGCCTCTGGTCTTTGGGTAGCAAAGCAATACACCCCCAATGGCACGAGCTGTCCAGCTCGCTGTTGTGGCGCCTTGTGA